AAAAAGTATGCGTGTTTTCTCAACAAAAGGGTTTTCTAAAACAAGACGTGTTCAGTATAGTCGATGCACACATTTCTAAACTCGATGAAACTTTTATAGAATATTTTTCTCTATGTGACATGTCTACTCAGTTAGCATGAAAGCTTCTGCACTGAGACACAGCTTCTCGACATTGTATTGTCGCAGAAATACTTGAAAAGAAAAATAAGAATATATTTGAAATCAGCACGGGAAATTGCATCGAATAATGTGACATTTATCAATTTTTAAAACAAAAAGTTCTTTTGACTAAAGTTTAAAGTAACAGTTCCCTCATGTATTTTCTACCGAAAATGTTCTTTTTCGAATTCCACTTTTTTTCTCATCGATTTTTTCGTGAACTACCAGAAACTAATATTTCTGTGAAAAAAAAGGGTTTTTGATAGAAAATAGGTCATGTCCAGGCGCTCTATAGAAATCGCTCACTGTACTATAACCAATGCCTTCATAAAATCTCGACCCGTGTATACACGAGCCATGTAACCAAACAGTTAATTCTTACATCAGAAATTGATTGATCGACTAATTGTTCTTTACAGCCAACAACGATTTTCATTTCATCATTAACAAATGCATTCCAATGACTGTAAGAAAATGCTGTACATGATGATACAACCGCCATTTGATTATACACCCACCATTCTAATTTGTGATTCTATTAAATTTTAAAAAAAAAACTTTTTTTCTTCTATTGTTTAATTTATATTTAAAAAAAAAATGAATCAATACTAACTTTATTAATAACGCTCACATATGAATCTGAATCAGGCTCAGGAAAAACATTAAGACCAACTAATCTTAATTTCTATTCATAAGCAAAAAAAAATTTTCTGATAAATTTCATTTCAAAAATATTAATTTACTTCAATTAAATCTTTTAATGGCATAAATTTATTAGCAATAGGCTCAACAATAGCAACAAATGTTGGATTCGTTTTGTAAATATCGTCACCATCATCAGCTCCTGGTCGACTTGTTGAAAGAGATGATGTTGATGTTGGTTGAAGAACACTTGGTTTAATTCCTTTTGCACCAAATAATGATGTTGATTTTTCTTCAACCGGTGCTTCTGGTTTTCGTGGTGGAAGAAATACAGCTACTTTATCGTACTAAAACAAAAACACATTGTTTTTCATATTGAGTTTACTGAAGAGTTAAAATATGACAAAAAAAAATTTACACTAATGCATCGATAAAGTGAGTTGTCCAATATACTTTAGAAGGTTTCATCGTTTTTTCAGATATTTCTGAAGAAAAGCTCGTCAGAAATATTTGAAACTCTCAGGGTAGATAGATTTCAATAAGTAGAATAAAAGTTGTCATAGACTTAAAATTTCCAAATACCTTCTTCGAGAAAATATTTAAGCCACAAATACAAAAACCATTTCATCTTCTTCCATTCGAAAAAAAATCAAGATACTGAGAGTATCTTCAAAAATACATTTTGTTTTGTTTTGTAAAATCTACTAGAAATCAATGATACAATGCTTGATAAAATTCACTATGTTGTTCGAAACGGGAGGCAATTCTGTACCTTCTGTTGTAGAAAAATTGATTTCGAGAGAAACAAAAAACAAACTTTTCTGTATGTATGAGAACTTTTTTTCTCTCCACCTAAAGATATAGGAAACTGCCGATGTTAAAGGTCTATGACACCTACTGTCAGTACCTTTAGAATGAGAAATAACAGTTATCATTAAGAGAATTTTGCCTACAAAAAATAATCGCAGCACAGTTTTTTCTACTAAGGATGTTGGTGTGTGACTTTAATAAGAGAACTAATTAACAGCGAAGAATCATCATTTATATGGCATTTGACAGAGAACACTGCGAAGTTATATTGACGAAAAAAAAAACTAAAAATCGAATAAAATGTGGATTTTAATATCAGAAAAGGAAGCGGAGATCCTTTTAATCGATCAAAATGGAAAAAATAAATTGCATGACAAGAACAATATTCATTCATTTTTACATGATTTTGAAATGCTACTAAATAATTCTACTGTCACGAGACATTGTACGAATAGATTAAAAATTTGTTCTACATAAATAAAAATAGTAGTACGTTCGTTTATTTTTTTGTTATCTTTAATTGAATAGTTTATGAAAGAACAAATAATCAAAGTTCATTTCCGACCATCTTGTTTATTCTTCTTTAATGATTGTTGAAAAATTCTCCTGAGATTTTACATCATGTTAAATTAAAAAAAATAAATACATTTGACAATCTCAAGACGACGATCACTTTGAATATGGAAAGTAAATGAAAGATGTGTGAAGCCTTCAAAAGCTCTTTTGTATTCGGTTGTTCTTCTTTTTTTTTCTCTTTTTTTTAATGATCACGCCTATGATAATGGCGTTAGACATGCGTTAACTCTATTAGCGATGACGGCTATGTTGATGATGTGTTATCGTTCATTGTCATCACAATTTCCTGGGGCATCTTTCTTTTCTTACGTCGATTTTCTTTTCATATTTATACAACCTTCATCATGATGATGATAATGTTCGATGAATCGTCTTATTACAGATGGATATAGTACAATAGTATGGCTGATATATTCATATTGAAGAGAGATAAAAGGATTTTGCATGAAGATATTGAATGTCAAAGCATGGTCCATTTTCACATATGTAAACCATCATATTCGACAGTTATACAGACAAACAGTTAATAGATAAAGGTGGTAAACCATCGAAGATAATATTTCTTCAAAACACCCAGCTTTATTAAAGAACGACAAGGTGATATCTAGTTTCTATAGGAGAAATTTTTTACTATCGTTCTATCGACATATTGTAATTCTTTTATTGGTATAAACATTCATGCATACTTTGCCTATATGCACGCTATACAAAAGAAGATTAAGCCTACGGGCTTGCTAATCCACTATGTATTTCTTCCGCTGCTATCATAGTTATTACTCTATAGTATTAGAATGATGGGACGTACATTGAAAAAAAATAGGATTAACCAATAAATATATTACTCTATTGTGCTTCTATTTTTCTTTTCTATTGAAAAAGTAAGCTGAGAGGCATTTATATATGTTAGCATAACCGCAACAAGAAAAGATCAAGTTGATGATTCGCTAACTTATTATAAATGGACTGTAGACAAAGTTGGCTTTATTTTGTATTTTTTTGTCTGAAATCAAAATAATTGAATTAATTATAAATTCTTTTGCATTCATTTATTTCTTTAACATTAATCATATTTAGGTTGTTTCTTTTCTTGCTTTTTTAAAATTCTTGCATTATAGGCTGAGAAACATTTGTTTCTCCTTTTCTGTATTATCAATTAATAATACTAAACACCCCCCAAAAAAAGAAATTCTTTCTTCTTTTTATACGTAACACGACAAGAATCGTAGTTTGTATCCCTACTCTTTCCACGTTGACAACATGTCCTTAGTTTAGAAACAACAGTAGGAAATAAGCAGAACGATGTCGATAGAAAATTTTGCATAGTAGAAGAAGCCAAACATGATATGAGGTTGCTTTTTTTCTCATAGATCATAGCTTAGAAGACAGCGAAAAAACAAAAATCTTAAATCTATAGTTGATTGTTTTATATTTAACAATGAACCGCTATATATTTCATTTATTTTCTCTTCTATTAAATATGCATACTTGTTTAGTTTTATTATATATTTGTATATCTATATGCGTGGGAAAATCACTTGTCAGTCTATTGCTACCACTGCTGTTTCTATCTTTTGTTCTTTATTCTTCATTCAGTCATTTTTTGCATTCGGCTTTTTTTTTCTTTCCAATATAATGGATTTCTTGTCACTTGTCTCTATCTGTCTGCTTGGGTGTTCTCATCAAATTGACATATAAGCAGCTGACGTATGCATTAAGTTAGCTCAAAAATGCAGAATTTTTTTCTTTTGTTTTTCGTGACAGCTATATTTAACGTTATTCCTTGACAATCGTTGAATGATTGCATAAATAAAATAGGTAACTGATTTCAAGCAAGAGAGATTTTCTTTTTTTCTCAATGCAGAATAATCGTTATATTTCTTCTACTATACTTCAAATCTGAATACAAGTATAAAAAATAAAAGAAAGAACAAGAACTGTTAATAAAATTTTTGAGTACTACATTTTATTATATCGAAGTGAATAAGAGACATAAAAGAAAAGAATCCACGGCATGTATCTATAGATCCTGCTGTGCCATGTTATTTTTTTGCCAGTCATCCTTGTTATTCTCTTACTATTTACACTTTATACACTCATTTTTCTCTTGAGTTCTCTTCAACAGAGGTCGATTGCATCTCATTTTCAAGATAAGAATCAACATACATAGGGTTTCTTTTTTTTTCTATCAACCAGTTTTATAGGATTTACTACTATTGTTGGCATATCGAGTGCACAGAGGAAATGACATCACCGGGATGTATTATTGTTGCACACACACACACACACATATATATATATATACGCACACATTCACGCAAGTCTATTCATTCATTGGCACGAGTAGGGAAACATACTGATTTTTTAGTCGTCCAAGAAGAGATAGAGAAATAGAGAGAAATAGAGAGAAAGTTTTGTGTTTACTAAGAATGCGCAAGTCCTCACGGGAAAAAAAGACGAAGAAAAAGAAAAAGAGAAAACGAAGCTGCAGTTCCATTGTCGTTGATGATAAAAAAAAAATGGCGAGAACAACAACACACACACACACACATACACACACCCTATGCACATCGACAAGAAGATAGATAGGAAAAAGATTTACAAAAGAACAAACAAGCAGAAGCTTTTTTTTCTATATTTTTTTCCTTTCTTTTTGTTTTATTCAACCGTTTATTCTAGTCAAGAGATCAACATATTATTAAATTTCTTGTATAAATATCAATTTTCTAGATATATAGTTACAGCTCAACAAAAAAAACACAAAACACAAGAAAGAAATTATACAAAATGATCTAAGGAATTTAATTATTAATCTAATGGACGTACTTGAATTACCTCGACCTGTCATTAATTTTCTTCGAACAATGGCCAAAGAAAGTTGTCGTTATGCCCTTTCATGGGATATATTTGGTGGACCTGATTCAGTAACACTTACATTAACATGGAAACTTATTGATGAAGAAGTACAATCATCGACGATTAATGAAGCAATATCATCACCACCATCATCATCATCATCATCATTAAAACAACAACAACAACAACAACAAAACTATGATAATCCTCATCCACGTACACGTTCAACAATCAAAGAGAGCAATAAACCATCATCACCACGTCGTTCGCGTCGTGATGAAAATACTTCTATGAATGAAAATATTTCTGTACCGGCTATATTTCGTTCATCTCGAGGCAAAAGTCTTGAAGGTAGTTCTATACATTCAAATAAACAAATTATTTCTCATCATCAACATAACCTAAAAGAACAACAACAACTACAACTACAACAGCATGTATCCAGTTTAGAACGACAAACAATAACTAATCATCATCAACAGCATCGAACAAAAAAAGAACAACAAAAACAAATACCAACACAGTCAGATCAAATCTATGGAAATCTTTATGATATACGTTCAACACCTGTTGCTAAATGTACAACTATATCGTCTTTATCGAGTTCTTCTCCATCACCTCAGCCAAACAATAATAATAATAATAATAATAATAATAATCCACCTTTATCCGTCGCTTATACTCATCATCAACGTACTAAACAGCATCAACAACAACAACAATCTGTAACACCGCCCATCACTCGAAAACCTATACGTTCATTATTGAATACATCTCGTACACCAACAATACCGATTACTAGTAATACATCATCAAACTATGCAAAATTGAGACGAAATAATAATATAACTACCCATGATAATAATAATGACGATGATGACACACTTGATCCATGGGTAAAACGTTTTGAATGTTCATTTGAAGATAACGATGATGAAACTACAGAACAATCAGAAGACAAAGAACCTGTTTCTACAACTACAGATAATATTGATGAATTGGGAAATACATCTGGCAAAGTTAAATTCAAGACAAAACCTGATTATTTCTAAACATGAAAAAGAGAAAAGAAAAAATCCTAATCTACTTATTCTATTTTCTTGTTTTTCTCAGGAGGAGAATGGAAAAGCTGAATATAATATATAACTATCTACGATCGAATCTCTATATATACAAATAATAATAATAATAAATTTATACATTGATCGCCAATTTTTTGTTACCATTTTGATATTTTTCTTTCTTATTTATTAGATAAAAAAACCAATTTTGTCAAATAATGAACTAAGCAGACACCATATTTTACTAGTTAGTATTATGATCATTTGTCAATATGTCATCATTATTGCCAACAAAGTTCATTGCTGTCATATTAGATTATACTATAATGCATTTGTTCGTTGCGTCAATCGGTGATTTTCATTATTTTTTTTTCTCGTTTTTTCTATACTATATTCGATGTATGTGTATGTATGTCGTTTGCACATCATACTATTTCCGCTTGTCTTTTGACTCGACTATCAACCCAATTAACGCACATCCCATAGTTTGACTCCTTATTCTGTTCTTTTCTCTTCTTCCTGTTTTTACAGATACAGGAAAGAAAAAGAAGACAAGCAGCTGGTAGGTTCTATAAGCATAAAATTGAGACCATACTACGACGATCGACACCAGCTGGTGTTAATGTGAATTAGATAAATGAACAGTATATGATAAAGCGAATCTTTTAGAACTACATAGGATATATGACAAAAAAAGAGAGAGAAAGCGAGAGAGACTTTTTCCCCCTTGTTATTGTAACATTTTTTTCTTAAATATGTTTTTTTTTCTGTTACTAGTACTAATAATAATAATGGAATCAAAGAATATATATAATCGTTGCATTTATATAATAACATGTTTTAGTAAATCAATGAATAGTTGATGTATATATTTAATGTCGATAGATTTAGTTCGATAAAAAAAGAAATCTTTAATTTCTCGATCTAATTGAACTAAATTAATGTGTATGTTTTATTTATTTGTATATTATAAAATGTTTATAATTGTCATAATCTATAGAAATATTTATTATATATTAACGGCATATGATTCAAGAGAGATAAATTCATATTTATGTGATCAAATCGAGCATTGTATTCTTAACATGTCGTCAAGTTCCTTATGATAAGCATCATTCATCGTGATCGAAACACTTGGCGTCGATGTAGTCCCTTAAGAATTACTCAAAAAACAAAAAACAAAACAAAACAAAACAAAGAAAAAAAAAGGATAATTCGTCCTTATCCAATTATGGTTCACATCCATTGATAGGCATACTCTTGAGACAAGATCTATTCTTTGTCGTACATCAACTTATTGAGCCCGTTTTGTTATTAGAACTTCAAAGACTAGTATTATTTTTCTTTTATAAATAATCATTATAATAGTTCGATTTGAAACCTTGAATTAATTTATTATAATATCTAACAGTAATTAATTAAAATGAGAACATCATAAATAAATTTTATAATGTTCAAATCTATTTTGGACAAAAATAAAATAAACAGTTTAAATAAAACTAAAAGAATGTAAACTCGGAAAGAATACTATTCAGATAAGACATTTGTTAAATGAATAAAGTAGAAATAACAACAATAAAAAGTCCTCGGAACTTATCATTTCCTTTATTCACTTCTTATACTAAATAAATCAAAGAATTTCATATTTGTTTATTTAAATATTTCAAGCAACGAAAGGATTATACATTTTCTAATTACATAGTTTAGCCTTAAAAAAACGAAGAATATTTATCATCAATATAAATCATATACAAGGCTTATATTCATTCTTATTCAATAGATATATGCTAGATAAATGTCTATTTCAAATATGTAGCAGAAGAAATATCGATACTCTATAATGGATTATATAAGTATAAAATTGTGATACTTTTTATTTTTATCTCTGATGCAGTTATATTCATTTACAAAGAAAAAAATGGGTCTTATCAAAATAAGTTCTCAATTAACATCAATTTTTGCTACACTTATCAGAGAAATATTCGAGGTCTCTAGCTCTGTTTTGACTCATTCAAAGGAGTGTATTGAAATTAGTAAAAAAAAGAACGCTAAAATGATTCGACGCTTCGGCTAATTAATCATTAGTTATGATTATTATATTAAATTTTTGCCTGTCCATAGCTAATTACAAAAACGTTTTTCCAATGTCAAGTGTACTGATCGTTAGAATATCGTAAAAGTTTCAACTAAAACGAATATAAATAATCAGTTTTTGAAAACGTCTATTTGTTGTAATTGACTTTCGAATTCTTTTGAGATTTTTGTTTTTCTAATTTCAATATACTCGATTGAATGAAATTTGAAAAAAGAAAAACAGAGCTAGACATATCTCGTTAGTCAATCGCGATTGTCTGCTAAAATAACTTTTACTTAATACTTCTCGTACATTCTAAATATCGAGTAACGTTAAATTATGTGAGCGCTATGAAAATTAAGTTAAAGACTCTAAGTTACTTAGGTCATATCTCAAAATGATTGTTTCATAGAACAAGAACAAAAAAAGAAATCTGATTATTTAAAGTACAAATATAAAGTCTGATACAGGAAAAGGTCGATGAAAATAACAAGTATGAATGTTTAATAAAGATTAGAGAAAAACGATACTATTACACATTGGATAAGTTTAATCCAATTCGAGACGATTGTTTAGTTTAATAATTTTACCTCAAAAAAAAAAAGAAACAATGAAAAAACAACATTCCTTTTAAACGTCGATCTAATCATACAATCAGACTTGATCACTGAACGACTAACGACAGGATTAATTACTAATAAAAAATTTCAATTAGACAAAGCTAAACTTCAACTTTGTAAAATGTAAAAGAATTTTACTCACAAAACGTATCCATCTCAATAGATCATTTGAAAAAAGACTTGACATATAACTATTCACATCATTTACGTTTTATTCTAAACTTTCATCAAAATCATTGATCAATTATCTCATTCTCTCACTATTCAGTATTCTATCATCATATTCTTAATCATCTTTGCTAACATTTCAATCAATCAATCATTAATTGACATTTTGCGTTTTATTATCACAGATACATACAGGTAGATAAGCATAAAACAATTTTTCTCTACATTATATTAATTACTATTCTATCAATTTATTGATATTTCATATACTAAAAATAGAAATATGCATTTACATTAGAAAGTAGTTAGTTATGTAGTAGTAGATACTCGAGACAGTTAAATAAAAAGTGCATATGAGAGAATTTTTTTTTTGATTGATTTTCTCATCATTTCTGTGTACAATGAGAAACCTCATGAACCATATATAAGACAGGGACAAACATCATCATTATTGTCATTGAAAACAGTAACAATATTCAAGTAAGAGCAATTTATGCATAGAAAATTGCATCATCAACAACATCATTTACTTTTCTCTCTCTCTCTGTCTGTGTCATTGACAGCGTCTTTTTTTTGTTTTGTCTCGTTGTTCATCACAATTGAAAGATGATAGAATCAGAACAAGACTGATGTCTATACATACACCTGTTTAATACAACAATGTACATGAATAGATACTTATATGCGGGAAGCATTTTGAGGTAAGTGAATAATATCGATATCATCACAATAAGTTTCAATGTTTTTATCTATTCAATTAAACTAAAATAAAATTTCATGAATTTAATAAAGAACGAAAAAAAGAAAACATGAAGCTTTTGTTTTTTATCTTCTATAGTTTATTATCATAATCTCAATGAATAGAACTTCCTTCCGGACATCTGCTAAGTGTATATATTAATAAAGCATAACAGAAATATAGTTACTATCAAAATATCTCACCAATTGTATGATCGATATGAGATCAGATTTCTTTTTATTTCATGTCCGGAACAAGAGATACTTTTCTATGGTCTGTAGAATAGATAGAAAAGTTGTTGTTTTCGTCTTAAATTACTACTACTTGTAAAATCATTCAGTAGCTTATTTATATGTGTGTATCATGACACCTACTCAACTGTCATCACCTGTCGGCCTGTCTTGTGGTTTGCTTTTACTATTCATTTCTTGCTCTCTCTCTCTCTGTGTCTCTCTCTCTATTTAGTTTTCTACACAAATGTCATTGATTTCTTCTCTTCTTTTCTTTACTCTCTCTACCTCTTTCTTTTTGTCGATTGTAGTTTTATTGCTATGTGACCATTGCCGCCGGCGAACCGAATATTCCTTCTTCTTTTTTTTCTACGTCGTCGTTGGTTTGTTCTCTAATAATAATCATACGCATCTCATATTAACGCGATTATCCATGATAGATGGTTTGACCGGTGGTCTTTTATATATTTATATATACATCGATATTGTTGATCATCTTGTTATTCTCATTTATCTACACCATCATTATCATTAGAATTTCAGTCGCTTTATAGTACGTTCTTAATTATCCGACTTAATTTGCGATTGACATTGAAAATATCAAGTAAAAACAAAAGAGCACAAGCAATAGAAACAGAATCGAAGACAACAAATGATTGAGCATTGATCTCTTTTCTTTCTTCTGTGATTTACAGTTATCTCTGTTTTTTTTCCATACAATTACCATCAAGAGAGAGAAGATATGGAACATCGTAATGCACTGACTTCTAACATAACAATGATTAATTCAACTAACAATAACAATTTGCATCATCATGATCGTCGTAATCGATGGACAAAAACAACAACAAAAGGACAACAATTACAATCGCCATCGTTAATATTAAAAAATCAGTATGTACCAACATTATGTATTACTGTTTCTCGATCTAATGAGTCAAAAAATCTATAGATATGATCAACAACAACAAGAAGAAATGCCTATGAAAAATCCGTTAGCATGGACTAAAAAGTGGACTAAATGGTTTTCATCATGTGGTTCAGAACGAATATCTCATAATAACTCAAATTCAAGAACACAGTTCATCGAGGTGAGTCGATATTTGTTTATTTTTTCAGCATTTACAACCTGCTGTGTGATCAATTGATCGACCAGTATATAAGACGTTCATTTCTTTCAAACAACAATTGATTAATGATTTAGAAAAACTTCTTTTTGTTTTTTTTTGTTTTTTTAACAGTTCTCATGTGTATAATCTATTGTCTGAAAGACGTGATTGAGTGTCGATAAAAGAATAACAACATATCTAAGACATCATTGGTATATGTGTAAGACGATCTTACAATGTCTGCTTAATAGAAAGAAAAACAAAATCTGTTTAACAGGAACAAAGAAAAGATAAAATTCCATTTTTACGCTTTGACTATTATTGAATGACATAGATATTAATTGTAAGAAATGAACTGTATTAGGTTGTCTTTGTATATTGATTGGTCTTTTAACACCATTTAACATTGATGTGATGACAAGAAAGGATAAGGAAGAGAAAGAAAATATGGAAATTTACAAAAGTAAATGTTATTTTCACATCCTTTATCTATACATGCACAAGTGATAGACGGACGGTAGATGGTCAATGATATGCATCGTATTCATTTTTGCTTAGATCGAAGGATAAAAATTGATCAAATTATATTAAAATAAGGTTATTATTCATGTGAAAATAATAAAGAAGTTAAATCAAGGATTAACGCTCATTTATTTAATGGACCTTTTTTTTAAAGCTATAGATCGTCTTCGATGATGATGATGATGATAGTAGTTTTAATAAATATATTTCTGAAATATTCTCTTTTGCTATGATGAAAAATACTAAGAATCAATATACTATATTTTATTTTCAAAGAATAAATTCTTTCTATAATTTATTCTATAATGATTGTTATTTCTTTTTCTTTGTTGAAACTGTTAACATAGACTTTGTTTTGGGGCTTCTCACTAATTGAAAAAACAAATGATAGAAAGAATGTTCGGACATGTGTCACATTCAATGCATTAGTAGAGAATTAACAATTATATTAAACTGTTGTTTGTATTTCTTTTTTTTCTCAATATGTTCTTTGATTATAAATATTCTAATGACGAAAAAGAAACGTAGATATTAGTTTATTATCATTACGTTGGATAGGTGGATATTATGAGACATTCAAAACTTGTAAAAAAAAAAAAGAATTTTTTCTTCAGAATCGGATGTTGTAACTCAATTGACATTAAGCAACAAAAACAAAGTGCTCCTCCTCTAAGAACTAGATAATGCGTTGTCTGCTTATCAAAAATACATCCTAACATTCGTCTGATAGTAATGCAAACGATGAAAAGCTTGTAAGACATTTGAAATATCCAATTATTCCTATTATTAAGAAGAAGAAAAGTAAGAATGCAAATCTATATTATATGTTTGAGTATACATAATTTGATTACGTGAAATTTTTTCCCATTTCATTTTCACATGTTTGTCTCTTAGAATTTCATTTCAAATAAGAAAAAAACCTTTGGAAATCTTTTGCCAATTGTATAATTCATGAGAAAGATGAAAAGAAATTAATGACTTGATGACAAGAGAAAATCCTGGAACACAGTAATAAATAAAAATAAATCTTGAAGATAATGATAAGAGTTATGTCAACATTCAAATTGTGTATTATTATATTTATTGTTGTAAATATAAAGAATTCTTGTAGATTTCTTACAGAAAACAATGTATTATATATCTATAACGAATATGCTTGGTTTATCTCACAATTCTATTTGTTTTATCCTTGAAAAAATTGATAAGAATAAAGATTTTATATAAAAATTCTAGGATGCAGATTTTTCTAAGACATAGTAATTATTTTACTGTCTATAATTTAATCTTGAAAAAAAAAATGTTGATTAAAAAAAGCCTTTTGGTTATTATTATAAAATTACACATGTTCAACCTGACCTTTCATCATATACATTTGTTTTTCATCAGAATCTATTTATTCATTACGTCAATGAATCAAGAAATCATTAGCTTTTATTTTCTTTTCTGTAAATTTAAAAAAACTAAAATAATAATCATTGTAATCTACTCATTTGTTAATATACACTTCTCTTATTTATTTTTTTATGTGTTGTAAATTGATCATTTTGACGGATAGATTAAAATGTGAATGACACACGCGTATGCACATCTCAATGCGAAAAAAAAAGAAGAAAATAGGTGAATATTTTGAGAATATAGATTTACGTGACAGATTCATTGAATACTATTACAATGAAAATCACGATTGATTACTGATAAATATGAACTTATACACGTGCATTAAGATATTCATGATAAATATTTATGCATCTTTTAAGAATCTTATATATGTATATATACATATATATATATATTGAGTGAGAGTTCTTTTCTCGATTACATCATCAAGAAAAATAAAACAATAATAAGAATTTACGACATTGTTATTGCTCTTGTTCAAATCAAAATCCTATTAGAGATAGTTATATACTGTCTTGTGTAACCAAATATATCTTCAAGATTCATCTGATAACTAAAGTATTATGCAGATTCACTCGTATTTTATATACTTGGGTCAAGTGCATATATATGGGCAACAGCTCGAATTCTTTTCGTTCATCATCTATTTTAAACTTAGACATACACAATTATTAAGTATATATGCATATATGTGTATGCATGTGTGACAGCAGGAATTTGTTACGCAAAATCAGACAAATTAAATTATTAAAAAGTCATAGTATAAAAATGTGCATTTCTTTTCCGAAAGAAAGAAATTAACTTTTAATCAATTTTATTTTCTCCTATATTATCATATTGATCGGAAGTAATGCTTATTCAATCATTTTCTTTACCTAGTATAAGAATAGCAAAAAGGAAAATTTCCTTCGTCTAAGTATGTCATGGTATGTGTAGGTGTTAACACATAAACGATAGTGAACTGAGGCGCATTGCTATTTTTTTAAGAAATTTACCGATGTCTACGGCGCACTTCGTTTCTTATATGTCCTGGGAAACAACATACATAGATATATATATTAACTATTCTTCATCACGGAACGACGCTCGTTTTCTTTCTCCTCATTTGCTCGTTTCTTCTTTAGGTTTTGGCAGTTTAGTTGAATGTGTGAAAATATGATGGCTCGTTAGGCGTTTTTGTATGAATGCGTGCGTGTGAAGCATGTTAAAAAAAGTGAAAAAAGAGAGAGAGAGAGAGAGAGGGAGAGGGAGAAAGAGAAGAAGAAGAAAGAAACGAAAGAGAAGAAGACAAACAGGAAATCAGTCTTTTCTCTCCTGACTATGCCTAATAGTAGAATGATAATGAGTCGCTTCTGTTGGTATTCTTGTAGCCGATGCTGCATCCTTAACTGTTTTTTGCCATCGCACTTGTTGTCATTGTTCCTATTATGCTGAAAAAATAGAATTGTTAAAACAACGATAGTCACGCTGCTAGCGTCTCTTCATCGTTTATTAATTACGAATGAAACTCTTTCGTGTCAAAGTAAGTTTTATATATATATATATAAATAAGAATATAGTTGGTCGCTAGAGACATACGCATATTTAATAAAAAGAGAAAGAAAAATTAGATTTGTAAAAGAATAACATAATAATGTGTGCCTTCTTTTTTGTATTTTAAATTATAGAAACGTGCACGAACCAAATCCGAAAATGACGTATCGAAACGTAGCAGCCTTGATCAGGACGAAAAGGTATGTTTGAAATAGAATTTCTCATTTTACTTTTTTTTTTTTTTTTTGTTTTTTTATTCTCCTTATCTTAACCTTGAATCTATTTTTAATCATACTACTTCTGATATTAAAAAAAAACATACACACGAGGTTTTTTAAGAGACAAAGAGGAAAAAAAATTAATAGAAATAAGAATCATAAGAAAAACATTATTTATCTGATTACTTGTTTCTTTTTTTCTCTCTCTCTCTCTTCTCGTTCGATCATTATATCATATCATTTTTATTATTGATTTAGTTTTGACTATCAATAGCATCGTTAACAGTAGAATATTCTCTTAGGTTGTAGGCAATAATTTACGAGAATATATGTCGCTCATCTCTTCTTTTTTTCTTCGGCATCGTCTTAATGTCCTTGTTTAGCTTAGTATGTGAACTATTTTTACTTTTCTCTTGCTTATTTGTTGTTTTCTGACAGTTATATACATAATATCAGCAAATAAACTATCGTTTACATGTCATATTTTTATGTTAAAATACGATTTTTTTTCTTGTCATAAACAATGCTTTTGATTTAGATTGTTTATCAGATGTTGCGCTTATCACGATAATATTAATCAGACGGGTTATTTTTTCTCTTTTAATGGCAAAGACAAATGGATAAACATATATATACATGCATAGAATAGGTTTTTCTTTGTTTACGACACTTATCCGACATAGAATATATATAGATACGTGTTGTTATTCTTGCTTCATACATATAGATCAATGAAGGACATCTATCGAAATAATGAAGCAAAGTTTCTTTTTTTTCTTTGACTGAATTTTAAAGCTAAATTGAAGTGCATCAGAAGGTCGTATGTTTATAACATGAGAATAATCCCATGTTGGTTGACAGACAGTTACTGATAATTGACTTGCCTTGACCAGAGAAAGAAAACGAATGCATATATATATACTTTATGTTTCAATAAGAAAAAAAAGAGAAAACGCAAATAATGGCGACCATAAAAGTTGATTTTTCTTTTCCTTTTATTCACAATTTTTTTTTTCTTTCATCTTTTATTATCATATCAGATTGAGGCATGTATGCACGTGCTGTTTTTGCTTATCTAATTTTACAATATGAAGCATTGCTTGCATTTTTCTTTTTTTTATCGAATAGAAACCGAATAAGAAAGAAATCGCTGGTCGATGGTGATTCTATTACATGTTGATATTGTTAAGAAATAGGAGAAGAGAAAAAGAAGAGAATCGAAAGCTGCTCCTCTATGTTCTCTCTTGTGCGACAAAACAAACCGATCGAAATAAGATAGAAAGAACGACTGATGAAAGCTGCCAAAGCGGTAATGCCTGCAAAAATACTATGTTGACAAGGAAAAGAGAATCGTATGAAAAAAAAAGAGAAGGAAGACATGATGATGACGTCGTCATCGTTGTCGGCATATATTTGTCCTTTTTTTTTATATTTCTTCTCTTTTTTTTTTTTTGTTGCGGTTTTTCTTCTGACAAGAAGCTCGTCTGACTATTGTATAAATAACCTTCAAGTCAATTATGTATATATATATTTTTCGATAGTTGTAGGTAACCACTAAAATAAGAGTAACAATATTATTCGTTTTGGGTTAGGTACGTGTTTTGTCAACAAGTAAAAGACATTTGAAATAAGATTGTGTTAATTACATTGTCATTTTTTTTTTCTTGTTCTCATGTCTTAGTTGTTGTTTTACCATTTCTTTTCATTTATTCTTCGTTCCCATCATGACTAGTCAAATAACCATATTAAAGAGTAGATACCACAATAACTACTAGTGCAACTAACATCAAAAGCAACGACCGCTCGATGTATGCGTATCCATCATTGCGCGACGATGAATTGTAAATACGAAAATGCGCGTCTATATGTGCTTCAAGCAACGAGTTTATTCCCTCCCTCTCGCTTTGTCTTCGATATTTCATGTGCAACAAGAGAGACAGAGGGAGAGAGAGAGAGAGAGAAAAAAAAAGAAGAGAGTAAACCGAGAAGAATTTTTGACGCTACACCTTGGCGTCGTGTCGCGCGAGAAATGATTTAGATCAACTAAACCAACATCGATAGACGAGACGAGGAAAAGAGTCGAGCGAGTATATATATATATATGTACCTACATAAGAAGGAGAGAGAAACATATTATTGATATACATTAAAACAGCAGCGGCAACATTGTCCAGTACCGTCGTATACATACATCATGCCAATCTGTGACCGTTAATGTCTTGTTCATAACTGTTCACTGATTAAGATTTGTTACTCGTTCAGTTGAATGAATGAAAATGTGGATATAGATATAAGTAGGTAGACTTGCATCTTATATTTTAGCCGAAGGGACAGAATACAAGTATGTCCATGGAAAGGTTATCGATTATCGATAGACTAGGCTAAGACTCCAATCTTGAATCTTATGGGAATAAGATGAAGAAGAAAAAGAGCAACAACAACAACGAGTAGAAAAGAAAAGATCGATGTTATTTGCATTGCTAATGCTGCCATTGTCATCTATTAGAGCAAATAGATCCACATGCTTTGTTTTTAGCTTTTCTGTATGATCCAGAGAGTGATTACGATAAAAAAAGGGGCTCACTTACACAAGAGAAGTTGCAATTCGGATTTTTTTTTTCTTTGTGTATTTGTCTCTTATCGTCCATCTATCTTTTCGAAATCGCAATTTTTTTTTTCGTTCTTTTTCGCATTTTTACGTATGCAGAACAAAAAGAAAATCTTCTGTACCTGCCTACATGTACGTGAAATTGACACCTGAATACGACTCTATTCTTCAATTTTAACAGACGAAAAAAAAAGGTAAGCAGGGATGTACACAATATAAAGAAGAAGAAAAACATCATGTTTTATTCATTGTAACTTGTTTTAAAAATTACCGATATGCAGAAATAGGTTCTATTATTATTTCTTCAAATAATATATAAATTTTTGATTAAGTAATAATATGACAATGAAAATCGAGAATAAAATAAAAACTTTCTTCTTATTATTCTTATTCGCTTAAGTTCTAGTAAAAAGGAAATCTTTTAGAGTTTCTTTGATTATCACATCTTCTTATTTGAATATAACATTGACACTTATTATTACTTTTTAATTTATTTCATCTAGAAAAAATTATCAGCAACTAATTCAAGTTTTTCTATTGGACAAAATCCAAACGAAAATCCAGAAGGAAATTTATCTCGTACAACATCAAATTATCATCATCATCATCAACAATCGAACGATAAAGTTAATAATTCAAATACAGTACTTTATCGTGAAAATTCTCGTCGTTATTCAAATCCATTTTTTACTTCAGCACGTTTTAGTGGAGCTCGTACATCAATTGCCGCTATACCAACAACAACAATAACAACAACAGCGGCAATAGTACCAACATTAGCAACTTCTCAACAAAAGCAATCCACACATTTAAGTCGTTCTGTTGATCGTTTACATAATAAATCACATCGTCGAGAATTACGTTATGAAGAACATGATGATTACATTCCGCCACCACTTCATTCAATTCAATGTCATCCAACAATAGATCATTATAGAAAAAGTTTGAATCAATCAACATATTTCTCATCAAATCATCGTCGTAGTCAGATAGACACATATCAATTATCATCATTAAATAATCGTTTAATATTACCAAGACCTTATTCATCAAATATACCTATTTCACAAAGTATTCAAATCATGTCGAAAACTTCATCTGATAATAATAATAATAATAATAATGCATATGGAAAATTATCTGACTGTCATATACCATTAATACCATTAGAAAATTCATCTGTTAAAGCCCCACGTCGTATTGAATCAGCATATAGTCAATTTCCTACACAACCAGAACCGATTTATGCCAATACTCAATCACTCTATGATAATATACTTTATCCACAATCAGTATCAAATGTATCAAATAAAACTTATGAACAAGAAAAAAAATCTTGTGCATCACAAACACAATTAACATGGACAATGGCAACATTTTCTTCATTTGTTGATTTAGAAAATCAATCAGTTATTATACCACAACCAGATCCAAGTACACTTTATTCTGTTGTACAACATTATCAATCACCATTATCACCATCAGCATCACCAGAAACAATTCAACAAATGAAAAGAATGTCCCCAAGAGTAAGTGATTGAAAGAAAAACAACAATTTTCAATCGAGTATATCTTATTTCAATATGAAATAATATCTTGTTGTTTTTTTGTATATCAAATTCTAAATATTTTCTTAAATTAAATAATTCTTTTCTTATCTTTAGTTACAGTATATTGATGATACAAATGCATCATCATATTATCAACGACCGCGTAGTCCAATATCATCGAATATAATCAAAGAAAAACGTGATGGCTCTTTTCAAACTCTTCTTACAATAGCTCCAACACAAGACTTAGAATCAAATAAACAATTATTTATTCATGATTCTACTCCATCACCGAATTCAACCGGTTCATTAGGAATAACTGGTCAACAACAACAACATCATCATCATCATCGAAGACATAAGTCACGCAGCCAGGCAAGTGCTACTAATATCAGTACACGTGATGTTGGTCTTCAAGTAAATATTCAAACAGTGAAAAAAATAACATTTTCATCACAAAAAAGTGATGAATCATCCATAACAACAGGTACATCATTACCAATAAGTACAAAAATTCTTCCAGAATTCAAAAATGTTGAAACAAATACAGAACCATTAGTTACAAAACGTGATAAAAGTACATTATATGAACCGAATATTAATTTAGTAACATCATCATCTCAAACATTAGATGCTCCCATAGTACCAACTACAAATCGTCAAACAAAAGCTGCTCAAACATTAAATAAAACATTACGTGATCAATCAATTGAAACGAATAATCGTGGTTTATTTGTATGTGATCTGAGTTCATTATTAACAAATGGTTTAGATGAATCATCATCACCAAATTCATCATTATTAAATACAAAGCAAAAATCATAATTATAATACTTTTACGCTCTTATCACAATAACCTTGTGTGTGCGTGCGTGTATTTTCTTTTTTCTATTTTGTATTTTTTTTTTTGCGCTTTGTTTTTCAAGAGAAAGAAAGACTTTATATAAATATAAATCCTGTATGCACAAGTAGAATACAGCAGAACTTACTTGAACTTCAAATGTCATTTCGAATGATGCGGTATTTAATACCAAACGTAAATGATTGGCAGATTTAGGTCTCATATGCCATGATTGAAATGGCATATGGGCATGACGATCGTTTAATAATGCATATGTACCAAAATCATATGTTTTAAATGAAATTATTCGAGTATCTAAATGAAATTTTTGGTTTTCGTTTATTGTATAGAATATTCATTGATTTTTTTTTTTCGTTTACCAGGTGCATATTGATATTCAACATAACCTTCTTGTCTCCAATGATTTCGATCTGTAATCCATCGAGCAAGTAATGGTTTTTCAGTAATAAATATATCATTTGGAATTCTAAATAGAAAGATATTAGTTTTTCTTTATCTCTCGAGTAAAGATTTCCGGAAACGCTGAGAAGTTATTGAATAGGAAATGATTTTATTTAATAAAAAAAAAACCGAAATGCCGGAAAGAATATTTTATATTACCAAAAAATATTCATATATAAATAGAAAAGGATATTTGAATTAAATTTATCTTGTGCATGAAAAGAAATTAAAATGACAACTAAAACAGTAAATAATTGATAAGAGTATATTCTCAAGTGATACTTCACGATTTTCTTTTTGATCTTATTTATCCATGAGTAATTTTTCGAAAGATTATATGCGCTTATTGAAATTTCAATGAAATAAGATATTTGAAATCAATTAAAGTAAGAAGAAAGAAAATCTTAATGTTTAAAATAATCACATTATACATTCGAATAATTTTAAAGTGTTTTTATTATTTTTAAATAGACTGTATCATACTTATATTTAAATACAACTGCTGATTCTTGTTTGATTGCAGCATCTAAGTACATTTTTCGTATTTCAGGATTATTTTCAATCATAGTTGCATCAAGTGTCATAGATAGATCAATTGTTTCTTCAATCTGAAAAATAGAAAAAAAAGGAAATTTGAAAATGATTTTTAAAATAGAGAAGAAGAAAAAAAAATCATTATTTTGTTTTACTTTTTCTTCTGTTTTGCCTTTTCCTGTATCGATTTCAGGTGTTTTATGTTTATTATTTGAAGCATATTCTTCATAAAATCGTTCAGCAATCATTGGATCAGATGGATATGGATAAGAAACAAGAATATCCTTGTTATCAACTATAAATTAATAGAGGTAAGTTATAAAAAGAAAATAAATAAATAACAAAAATTATTAATTAACCTTCCATTATTGTCCATTCTTGTACTTTTTTTGGTTGTGGTGGAATATTGTAAAGATTTATTTGAAGTAATGGTGACATAGGGCAATGCGAACGAAGATCAATAACAGATTCATCAGCTAATTGTTCTAAGATTTGATCAGCAGTCGCTAAAAAAAATATATAACTTCATTTAAATAAAGTTTATCTTAGCTTTAGATTTTTAAAGATCAGTCAGCATCTCTGATCTTGTGATTAGCGAGATATTTCTTCTCTGTCGTATTTCAAATTTCAAAAAAAAAAATTTCATCTTTTTTCTTTTTTTGATTAAAATTCAACAAATCAAAAAAGATATATAAAAATAATAGTAAAAAAATGTTCATCAATCGTTCTCGTACAATCAGTATTCATAAGACATGATAACTATATTTCAAATCTTCTTATTCGTGTTATCTTTTTTGATCTTGACAGATGATAAAAGTAATACTAGTTACATTTATCAAAAGCAAATTTTTCGGATGTAAAGAATCTATTCGATGAAACGCAATTACTATCGTATAAACTAATGGTGTAATCAAACGACAGCCGGAAGGACCTCATACTCGACTATGACGCTGCTACACGAGCATGACTCGAGAAGTTTTCACTATCTTTATAGATGTGACAAAGAAGCTGAGCACCTTCTAATTTGTTTCTTTTTGTATGTCATTAGTATCAATGAACACTGAGCATTCCGGATTTAGTAGTATAACGACAGGATTTCATGACGGAAGTCTACCAACTGATTAATTGCTTTTGAGTTAGGATAATGTGCATCTTGTAGAGCTTAATGAGTTATGAACACGTTGAAAAAAGAAATCATATTGCTGCATTTTTATGTTAGCTTTCAAATAAAAACTGCGGTTCTTCTTCGTGATATCAGAAAATTTCATTTTTGAATTTTGACTTGAAATTTTGCACAGAAATAGACTTTAAACAGATTAATTTATTGTGAAAATTTCAGATCTTTTCACTGTTCCTATCTTAATATACAACTATGATGAAAGTATGTCTTTGACATCGTTGACAAGTTCGATATTCTTATTTTAGAATAGAAGCAAATTAAAGACGTAAAAGTTTTTACAATTCTTATTAATGCTTATATCTATGAAAAAATTCAATTCGAAATACAAAAATCAATTTTTTCTCGTGTTCCTGACGAAGAGTACAGCTTCAATTTGAAAACTACTATAAAAATTCAGTATCTCGCCAGGAATAAGCTAATAGCACAAACTCTTTTTTTTTTTCCAGGATATTCATAACTCCGTAGATTCTATAAGATGCACATTGTCTTGGCTCACAAGTAATTAATCATTCGAGGGAGTTCTTTCCTTGCTTCTCTTTAATTTATAGTGACACTACAACGAATGTAAGTATGATTTTCTCTTAAAAATTTAATAGTATAACCATTATCGAATATATATTCTCAACTATGAAAAAATTTTTCTTAATCTTAAATGATATTAATTTTATTATACCATTTAATAATTTATCACTTGATTTTGTTCTATCTAATGATGTTTGAGTTAAAGTTTTTTCATCTTGTATTTCTTCTGAAGCTACTTGTGTAGCAGATCGATCAGTCATTGTATTTTCTTTATTAGCTTGAGCTTCAGCAGCAGCCGCTGCTGCTGCAGCTGCTTCTTCACGTTGTTTTGTTTCTTCCATTAATTTTCTTAATTCCGGTGGTAATGAAGCATCAAATTGATCTTTAGCTGAATCTTCATTTTCTGTTGGTTGTTTTTCTGTTTCATCAACATATGGTTCAGGTATTGGATCTAATAGAAAAATATTGAAAAATTCAATATCAAAGATCTAATTTACCATAAGTATAATCATTTATTTGTACACGACATTTTGATAGTAATGAACGTTCAGAATAATAATCATATTTAAGAAAAAATCCAACTATAGCTATATTAGCTAATGATAATGGTTTTGGTAAATCAAAACCAAAATGATATTTAGCAAATTGATAACCTTTTATTCTAGAAAAATAAAAAAATAAATTATTTAAATTAATACAAAAAAACAAAAAATAATAATAAACTAAAAACCTTGGATTATGACTAAGATTAGCCCATATACACATAGTAACATTTTCATTTTCAGCTGTATATTGAAAATTATTTGTTTCTAAATCTTGTAAATCACTTGCTTTAAGCATTATAAAATGAGCTGTATGAAGCCATTTTAAACTTAATGTATCTTCAAGTTTATGAATTGTCTAGAAAAAAAGAAAAAGAAAAAATAAATTAAAAGAATTTATTTATTTTCATATAAACTTGTTTATAAATTGGAATACGTTGTAGTTCTAATGAATCATTTGGAATTGAATTAGAAACAGAATTTAATTCTTTAATAAGAGATAAAACGAGATTTGTTTGTTTCATTGTATATTCAACATCAATTCGATTTTTTTCATCATGCCATAATGATATATATGTATTTATTTCAGGTAAAACTGTTGGATCAGGTGTACCATCACATTGCATAACACGTTTCCACTATAAAAATTAGATTATTATTTTTATTTAATAAAAATTAATTTTACTTTATATTCTTCACGTTGTTTATGTCGTACTTCAGTTACTTGCTGTTGTCGTGGTTGAATAAATTCATAAAATTCACTTAATTCTCGACGTCGTAATTCATTAATCTAAATTGTTGATTATTATTATAAAAAGAAAACAGAATGAATTATTATACTTCTTTAGCTATATTTGATTTCTCTTCAGCAAGTCGTTTTTCATTTTCCAGACGTTCTTTTTCAGCAACTTCAGCACGTTGTTGAGCTTCCTCTATGATATGAAAATGAATGATGAATTAAAATTGGCAGTGTGGCCGAGTGGTCTAAGGCGCTGGTTTTAGGCACCAGTCGTAAAAGGCGTGGGTTCGAATCCCACCGCTGTCAGTATTAAATCAAGCAAGATGGCTTGCTTCTTTTTTTCTTTCCTTTTCTACTTCTGTTTTTTTTTTCTTCTCTCTACGTGAGATTCTAACAAAAAGAAGTTTTCAGAGGAATAATATTAAAGAAGTTGTTATTCTCTTAAGCGATCTATTTATTTTTTTCCTTCAATATCTTCATACCGATGGAAGCTTGGATTCATAATATATGTAGTAGATGTGCATATCTATTTCTTGTTAGATTATCAAGTAGAGAGAAGAAAAAAAAAACAGAAGTAGAAAAGGAAAGAAAAAAAGAAGCAAGCCATCTTGCTTGATTTAATACTGNTGTTCTAAAAACAAAATTTTTTTCGTGTAAAAAGCGCATGTCTTAACGCGTCTTTGCACGTTAAAATGAGCCTTTGTCTACCTGACTTGTGATAAACATTTAATCAAAGTTGAAGGAAAATGTATTGTTCTCACAGTAGAGTTGTTTTTAAAGTTATGATTTATTAACAAAAGTCGTTCTTGTGAAAAAAAATGAGCAAAAAACGTCAATTTCTAATAGAAGAAGAATTACGTACTTCAATGGTGTACCTCATTTGTAATTCTGAAAATCTTATTTGAAAATTAAAATATGCTAGCCCTGGTCAGCATTGTCGTTTTTTTATTCTACATTAATAAAACATAGAATTTCTTATGCATAACAACAATATAAATGTAATCATTTCTATCTTTCTTTCAAGTTGTTTAAGCTTTCGATATTTTCCTCTTTCGGCATTTTCTTCTTTCGACATTTTCCATCAAGGTCCATTACGGTGACCACTCGCCCTCTGTATGATCATTGTCTCCTTTGTGTTCTTCTTCTTTTGCTCTCTTTCTTTCGCCTGCATATATAAACAACGCCTTTGTTCATGTATTAATTATCAGCTATTCGTCGATCATCCTTCCACTGCATTACTCTTTTGTTATCTTTCTCACACAAATAGAAAGAAGAATAAACCAGACAAGCTTAACAAATATCTATAGTCAGCCGACAGAGCGAAAAAAGCATAGCGTTTTAAGCAGTGTTTCCAATAGCAAGTGTACCAAGCAGAAACAAAATGTACAGAACATCTGCTACTTTTGATATACACTCTGTTGTACACTTACCCAGAAAAGCAAAGTGTACAATGTACACTTTGCTAAAATAGTTTACACTTTGATTTCTGAACTTTAAAAGCCGCATATGGTTTTAAATTAATTAAAGATTATATTTATTTGTTCGTTAGAGGTCAAAATGTTTGTCTCTTGATAGAAAAAATGACGAACATTATATTTTGTTTTTTAGATTGTGAAAATTTCACTTTCGTACACTTTGTACACTTTGCTGAAAAAAACAAAGCGAAATGTACATTTTGCTTATGAAATACAGAGTGTACTGTACATTTTGTTTTAGATTTCCATTGGAAACACTGGTCAGAAACGCAAAATTAGGGCGTTTTTAACGAAAAAAACGCGTTTTAACGGTACTTTTTCATTTTGCTTTGGTTATCAAGAGAAAAATCAAAACTGCAACAATCTTATTATTATTATGCTCTCAGTAAGTAATGTGCATCGTCACTCACTAGTTGTTAGTATATCGCGGTCTGCACACTCATCTGTTACTAATGAGTACAAATGTTCAGTTTAACTATTCTGCAACAGTTGTATGTGCTCCAATATATCTAAATCCCGTAAGATGAGATAGTGAGTAATGAGTCTGGCTACTTTCTAGCAAGTAGTAAGTGCTACCATTGGGTGCTTATATTAGTAACAGGCAGCTGATGGTTCGAACCTGTATTTCTTACTAATAAACAGTGAAATATCAGGTCCGGTATTTTTACTTAGTGAGTAGGAATTTCAAACAAAGAGAAGTTTTTTTTATTGCCATTAAGTCGAAGTTAAAATAAGTAGAAGCATAACGATCTTATTGAATACTCTCCGTAGTGTGTTAACATGTAGTTTATTGATGTATTGTCAGTGTATCTTCTCAGCAATATCTCACTGTGAGTGGAAAATTGATAAGACAGATATTGTTCAGTGCTAATATTTGATAAGAATGAAAAGCAAGCTTATCATTAATTTGCTTCTGAGTAACTGTCATAAACTCATTGGCTGAACAGAAATAAGCTTGGAACACATCTCATACTAAATATTTTTAGTAATTAGAGTATTGACAATTAATGTCATATTGCTTTATTCAATGAACATGATAACATCATCTTAACTGACATCGTTTTATATTACGGGACATTTAAGAAGATCAACTCTAGCTTGACTATGTTTTTTTAATTATAATAATGAGTAGAAGAATATTGTTCACGTTCAAAAATTAAACGATGAGGGAAAATTATCACTAATATTACCATATGCTAATATATAGTAATGTTCACAAAAATGGTTCCTTTCTGCGTGAATTATATGATGCCATAATCTACTCTATTTTTCCTTTAAAATTTCAAGTATGTAACAATGGTAAGCATAATCAACCAAGATAAACAAGTTAGTCTTTTCTTGCATAGCTTATACTTATAAAATGAGTTAAAGTTTATCTCTTTCAATACAAGTTTCAATAATTAGCGATCTCATTTTTTTTATGTACTGTTCTTTGCGAGATGGAAACATAGCTCATCATCCATTCACATTTTTAAAAAAAATTATTTTCTTTGTCTTTTCTTTCCGTCAAGTACAAGGAGAAATAAAAAAAGAAGATTTTTCTTTTACCACTCTCTCGTCCGATTATTAGTCTGTTCTTTTCATTTGCAATTCATTTGCGTTCTGTTTCGTTCACAGAGTAGTTGCCTAACTTGTACTGAGAATTAATGTTAGATGCACTATACGTAATGCACTTGCTTCTTGTGTGTAACACTAGAGATTTTCGATTTAGATACATTCTTTTTTGCGGAAAATCATTCAAAATGAAAGAAAAAACAGAACACTGATCACATCGCTGTTAATTGCGAGTTCATGTATAAAATAGTTTGATATTCACTAGGTTAGTGTGGACATTGGCATCGTATGTACAACACAGATGGCAATACAACTATAAGAGTCGCTCGTAAACGATCAACATAGCGGAATTTCATTAAATATTCGTTAGTCAGAATGTTTGATATAGAATGTTCATCACGAGTACGTGTGTCAAATGAGACGTTCGAAACAGTTTAGTGGTGTACTCAATGGAAAAGAAATCTGAAATCATCAAAAGATGAATCAGTTTTAAAAGAAATATCGTCACTACCGCAGAGCACATAGTATTCTCGTGCATAGATGTACCTTAATCAGTTTCGCAATCGACCTAGAACACACTACAATTATGAGACTATACAGCCCATCGATATCGCTTCTAGTTATATCACATCTGTAAACTTCAATATTTCGGAATTTGATCCAAATTAAATTAAATTTATTAATGAAACTCGAAAAGAACATTTATCTATCATAGTAGTTTCGGTTGTAGTTTTCTAAATATTAGAAACTGATTAGATAAATCGTGGTTTGCCTTTTTTTTATTATAAACTCTTGTGTTACACGTAATATTTAGAATCGATTCACCAATCTATCGCATCCGTCACTTATTCAAAGTATAAATATGAAGTCTGAGTGTAAATAATTAAATTTTCTTCTCGTTGATAAACTGGCCGAGTGTATTTAAATTATAATTAAATAAATATTGAATTGAGATTAATTTATACCTTGAAAACAGTAAGGAGAATTTCTCTCTTATCGGTTCGTTTCCTTTTATATTAAGACTAAGTTTACATCTTACTATTTATTTGCACATTTTTCTTTGTTTTTAAGAGGAACGGAATGACAAGACATTAACGCTGTTCGATTAAACCTACGTATTTTTATCTTCTGTTGTGCTATTGAAAAAATCAAAAAGAAAAAAGGAAAATATGCAAATAAATAGTAAAATGCAAACTTAGTCTTAATATAAAAGAAAACGAACTGATAGGAGAGAAATTCTCCTTACCGTTTTCAAAGAATAAATAAATGTCAGTTTAACATTTATTTAATTATAGTTTGAATACACTCGGTCAGTTTATCAACCAGAGGAAAATTTAATTATTTATAAATCGTTGACAATGCATCGTTTAGATGAATTATTTCTTGATCGCGAAGATGCGTTGTAACGAAAATTATTTAAACTTTTAAGCAGTGTCATTAATCGCCAAAAACGTGTTAAAACAGTTAAAATTTGAACGTCTTCAAGCGTTTAAACGTGTAAAACGTGTTACAAGTCAATTTTTTATTAACTGCATGTTTTAACGCGTTTTTGGCGACGAATGACACTGTTTTTTGCCGTTTACATATTGACATGTTTAAACGCCATTTTTGGCGTTTTCGCGTCTGCCTGGGCATCAGGAGACTTGTGAAAGAAAAGTTAACATTTTAGCTTCTGAATTATTGAGATATTTCATGTAAAAAATATTAGGAAGAAATCGCATTGACATCGATTTCAATGTGATTTCTCGCCAATATTTTTTACATGAGATGCGCAACGCAACAAAATGTTGTAACGCGTTTGCCCGATTTAGTTATTGTTTACTGTTCAATATGTGCATCAACTGGACCAGTTTAAACAAGTAAAGAAAGATTGAGAATATAAAGAAGTCAAATATATGCTAGCAATGATATTTTGCTACAAGACTTCGAATGTTCGAACGAAGAACGTTTGTGATTCAAGTTCGTACTAGCTTCACCATGCTAAAGGGTGGTCCAAAAGTTTCAACCCCTCTCAGTAAATCGATGATATCTGCAACAAAACTTATATAAACTTATTGATCAAATTATGTCATTTTGCAGAGAAAGATTAGAGCTATCATCTGAAAAAATCCAGTTTGAAATGCATAAATTTATTACAACGTTATAGTCATTTTCCTAATCTTGAGTGAAAATTTTTACGTTGCATTTTTTGAAAAAACAAAATATGCTTGTAACATCCTAAACGATATATTTTTTTCTAGAAATTTTTACATTGTTCGATAGAGTTCGACAAGCTCTACGAGAATATTAATGTTTAAGAAAGTTCTGATCTTATTTTCAATATAAAACTTGAAGAAAATCAGAAAGGCTAATAAAAATTTGATGTATCAAATAAACGAGAGAGTAAGTTGAGCTGCCAATACGTATGTGACGCTGCATCTCGAAACATCAATTAACAATCGATCAACTAAAGTTATTGAAAGTTAAGCATACCATCTCATGCAACGTATCTGAAATTTTTCTTGATCTGCGTGGTTTCTTTCGAGGATTTATATTGGAAACAGGATTTGAATTTTTCTTGATATTCATATTCTTGTAGAGCTTGGCGAACTCTATCGAATCATTTAAAAATAACTATTAAAACCACGTAGAAAATAATACTTCGGTCGACTTCAGCAACTCAAACATTGAAGATTTTTTTGGTTTTTCAAAAAATGTAACGTAAAAATTTTCACTCAAGATTAGTAAAATGATTATAACATTGCAATAAATTTATGCATTTCAAACTGGAGTTTTTCAAATGATAGTGCTAATCTTTCTCTACAAAATGACATAATTTGATCAATAAATTCATATAACTTTGCTGTAGATATCATCGATTTGGTGAGAGGGATCGAAACTTTTGAACTACCCTTTATTTTCTTTCCTATGCAGCACAATAACATTTTTTTTATATGAAATTTTGACGAGCAGAAAATCTACTTACGACTCACAACGATCAGTCGTCGGAACTGAGAATTACAGCTGACTACATTCAACAGTTTCAAGAGATCCTTGAAATGTCTGGAAATTCTGCAGCAGTCTTAATGATAAAATACTGAACCACGTGGATAGATAGGACTTTACTTAAAATATTGTAAAACATACATTCTTTGGCTGAACAGAAAATAAAGGGTAGTTCAAAAGTTTCGATCCCTCTCACCAAATCGATGATATCTACAGCAAAGTTATATGAATTTATTGATCAAATTATGTCATTTTGTAGAGAAAGATTAGCACTATNCTCTATAGAGCGGGTATGATTGCTAGGATTATTTTTTCTTTCGGCTATGTCCTTTCTGAAAATTTTTTTTAAAATATGCATTTCTATTTTAGATCAGTGTCAAAATAGTATAAAGGTAAGTACAACATGAGTGCACCGAAAATGGAAAACAACATATTAGGTTCGTGTTTAATTCTTTCCTAAATTTAAATGGATATTATCGAACTATTTTTTATTTCCAATTTCATCTACTCGCTTCGCCGATCTTTCAAATGAATTTATCTACGAAATATTTGTCTAATCAAACATTCGATTTCAATATCTATTTACACGTCGAGTTTTTCATCGCAAAATTAATTTACCAATTATACCAAAGGAGGATTTTCTTCGTCGATGTGAAGAATTTGTAAAACCAAATATTAATCGATTCGTTTTTCCAATTATCCTCAATCTATTCGTTTATTCATTTTGAAACACTCATTCTCGATGGTATAGTATCGAACAATTTTCTCGTTCAACTTCTTAATTCTCTTGTATCATTGCCAAGTCTCTTTACATTTTCCATCACATTATCAAGCTATTATCGAAATGAATATCATATACTTCAATGTAGTTTTCGTTTACCTATAATCAAGTTCTGTAACTTAAGAATTCAGGGATTACTGGATCTTATATATTTACCATGTAATCGTGATGAAAAATATCAATTTTATGTACTTAAATATCTCATTATCGACAGTAACTTTTGTCTTGGTTAACATACTCCAATTCTAACATACGCATCGCAATTGATGTATTTATCATGTTGATTTCGATCTAGATCCGATCATAAAACGAATGAACAATTACTTATGCCATCTTATTTTACTGATATCACTTTAAGATTTCATGATGTTTCATTCGATGAAATGGAAAAATTCTTATCTAAAATTTCTCATCAAGTGTAACGTTTACATGTAACAACAAAAATGAGTAACACATATCGTTGGACTAATCGTTGAGAACAGTTAATTATAGATTATATGCCTCATTTATACATATTTGATTTTCCACAAAGCTTCTCCGAATAATTATATTATTTCGAATCAATTATTAGATAGATTCAAGTCATCATTTGGACTAATCGGCAATGGATCTTTCAACATCAACATTGCTCATGCGATGATGATGCTAATCGATCACTAATCAATATTAAGCATTTTATTCTTTTGATACAAGTTACTCATTTACCTAATCGATATGGTATTGATTGATAAATGTAATTTACCCATCGAACAGATTGATCAAGTTCGTTCGATATCAAAAACTAGCAAAGTTACTAAACTATGCATCGAAGATGATTGTTTATTGGGCTATCTTCATCTTTTTTGTTGATATTTGCCCTCGTTAACAATGTCTTGAAGTTGTTGCTGTCAAAAGTCAAGTCGAATCAATTGTACAATTCTTATTATCAGGTAAATTTCCAAATAATGATTGAACGTGACAAACTAGTTTTTGAATATAGAATTAAATATCATTACACTGGATTGTATCTATCGTGGTAGATTTCATTTTCCCTTTGTTGTTATTTGATTTTATGCTGAAATTGTCATCACTAAACTGGTAATGATGGTATCTTTTTTGCAATAAATTCAATATAATATATAAAAACAGCAAACTATTTTTCTTCACTTTTTGAATTTTGAATCTGTGTTTTATTCCAGTTTTTGATATCAGAGATGGAACTTTAAACTCTGAGGCGATGAACATAGACCTCCACGAGGTAATAGAGTACCCTTTCGATAGTTTAATTAAAAACACTATTGGCTAGATATATTTCCGTAACTGTTCTTTTTGGTTGGAATGAATTTAATCGTAAGAAAAATATAATAATGTCTAACGAAAAATTTCTGATACCAGTGAAAATAAAAGTATATCGGTGAATAATTTAGTACAGAGAGTTTCATTAAATCTGTCTTCAAGATGATGTTATCATGAAGTACTTTGATAAGTGTGAACAAATAATAATCATTGTTCATTATAAGTTAATAATAGGATTTCTTTTTTTGTCTTATTTACAATTTCTAGGAAATGGAATCATACATAAAACGTCAATCTCTTGTGTCAAAACACACTTTACATCAGTTAGATGAAGAAAATTTTATTTTATATCAACGACAACTGAAATTTTGTTCGAACAAAAGTCTAATAGTACTTTTGTTCCTATTGACGATAAACTAGATAATAATAATAACAGCATGAAACTAAGCATTAAAAGATTACCAAACTCAAGAGCTGTGCCATTGTTATTGTAATCTGATTCAACTTCATCAAAGTTTCAACTGTAGCAAAGACTATCAACATATGTATGCAATAAGATTATACAATTTATTCTAACAACATTAACAAGATTTATATCAAATAAAGTCATTCTAACAATTATCAGTATGAATATCAAATAAGAGCAGAGTAATATTACAATTTTTGCAGACATAAACAAAAAAAATAGATAAACTAGAGCCATAAATGAACTTCCCATTCATTGTCTTGAAAATAGTCAAATTGACACAATTTTGAATTCTGTTCAAGCCATTGACGTGTGATCATTTGAGGATTTAAATCATGGATATAACCATAGTGACGAATTGATACACTCGATAATGTCATCGTCATGTTATTGAATAATCTTGATAGATTTTGAACGCCTTGACGATCAAAGTCCAATCGCTGCAGATGAGTAAACGAACGCCAAAGTGCATCGATTTCATTTGATAGCAGTCGTTTAAATGAACCAAGTAAATCAACCTTCATGTTGAGATCAATAATTTGTGGCCAATGTCGATTAAAAAATAAAACGAGAGTTGAAGTGTGCAAGCAAAGTGAACCTAGATGTGGAAGACAATGCAGAATTCGTACAAATTCTTTGTTTGACTGTTCTGTTTCCGATTTACCTTGTGCGAACCTAGTAATTCGTGATAAATCGATGCAAGTGGTGATAAATTTAAGTGAAATGTCAAGATCTCTTTCGACGATTAACGTATCAGCATGTGTAAACCGACGTAAATGTGCTTCTGGCATTGGTAATTGAGTGTCAAAAAAAAGATATTTAGTATGTGGACACGTGGTTGGTTCTAATCCACTTGATTCTGTTACCAATGTTTTCTTCATAAATGGTAATGGATAAAAATAGTTTTCAAAGCATGGATTCGTATAGAGAAATGAATAAGAAGTATCGATCCATTGATCAAATGTCACATACCATTTCTTTTCTTCAAGCCAGAATTCAGTACGAAAAGAATTGAGATCGATATTAACTCCAGTTGAAATTCTAAATACGAACTGAAATACGATTATTCTAGTTAGTAATGGTATCCATGCATCGCCATTGAACATATTACTTTCCACATTAAAGATATTAAGACTAAGATGAGTAAGACGAGTCATCAACGAGAGTAAACATCTAATATCGAGCATAGTCATACAATTGTTAATGATCGATAATTGTTGTAAATTAATAGATGGTTGAAAAATCATATCAATGGCAGAAAACGGATTAATAATCAATTTGGCGTTGAGTTGACGTAACATAGGTGCAATAGCTAAAATTTGATGTAAGTTAATTTTAATACCTATTACTGTTAAACATTCAATAGCAGATGTTTGTATTAAAGAAGATGATGAAATGTTTATGGTTTCTTTCCGACCAAATAATGTGCTAAGAGACAAATGTTTTAATGATTTTAAAATGAATAGAAGATCGTGAAAAATGAGTGACATTAATGTTGATGTTGATTCATTTGAATCATGAACATAATCGATGAATATTGATCTTAATGATATAAATGATGGTAGTCGAGTTCGAATCAACTTCCACATATTTGAATCAATCTTATTCAAAGTCATCGAATGTAAATTTGGAAAAATATCATTTGTAGTAATTGAGCAGAAAAAACGATTGATTTTTGCATCTGTTATACTATTACGATCATTGTGAAAGTTCAATGAGAAGATGCGAGGCGCCAAATTAGATAATTGGTTACAAACAAAATCGAATTGTTTTTTCTTTTTGGCTAGCCTATTGAAATCGAGTCGAAAACGAGAATAGATGAGAGATATAGAATAAAGACGTCGATTAACGAAACATACTGACAAGAGAATATCAATGACGGACATAGAATCAAAAATCTTTTCAATCAATTCGATAGGCAAAATACTTAGGTAGTCTGACATTTTGTGTATGTGTTCATTCGATAAAATGTCGCTATTTATATTTGAAAAACAAACAATAGCCGTCTAACTCGCCGCTGCAATCAGTAACATATATCACATGAAAACATACAATTCCAATAATTATTTTTCTAAAGGTGATATTTGTCAGACAAATTAGACTTTTTCTTTCTGTCTATAGCATATTTCATCGAAGTAAAATAGCAATTTTTTATTTTGGATAACACGGCTAGCAGAATTCTTTAGATATAGATTTGAACTGTAATTGCCGAATTTTTTGTAATCTTACTTTGCTCTATTGAGTGGAATCTAATGAGAATGAACTATAGATCATATGAAAGCACGAGAAATTCGCATCTTGTTCATTAAAATAAAGTTCATTTGGTATTTGATTTTTGCAGAGAAAGTGAGAAGATAACAGAAAATTGTTTCTGTGACTATCACATTTATAAAAATTTAAGCAACTCTTTTCTTCTGCTCCTCGGATTCCGTTATTCGCAAATTTTCAAAACATAATAGATAACATATAGAAGCAATATCTTCGAGTGTGTGTGTGTGAGTCTATATTTCATACACACCCATACCCATTCCGATTCTTTGTCATCAATACATTTGATTAACAGTTTCGTCGATTCAAGTTTTCCTTTCTTGCAATAGAAAATCTCTGAAATATGAGTTGTTCAAATTATCAATATCAATAATTTTAGGTTATATATGATTGTTTCTAATTATGAGATCAGAATGAATATACAAAAAAAACTATCCATCTTCTTGATTTTAACTTATTATGTCGTTTATTCAACATGAAAAGAAAAGAAATAATATATGAGAATGAGAAAAAAAAGCAATCATGAAAGTTTAATACTAAACGAATTGGATATAGAAATTAAGAATGAAAAGAGTTAGTTAGTAGAGAGAACAAGTTCAGAAGAAAGACAAAAAAATGCATTGATCAGAAGGCAGACTATTATTTTTCTCTCATACTATGTATATAGATCGTTGTATTAATTATTTTTTATAGTATTTTGTTGAATTAGAGAAGACCAATTAATACATTTAGAATTACACTAGAAAATAGAGTTGATTGATGTATTCGACATGATATGGTTATCATACGTATGATACCATGCTCAATATTTTTGGATCCTATGTTTTCTCATTCAGACATTCAATGAGTAAGTTGATTATGATAATATAAAACAAATACTAATATATGCTAATATGTTTATTTTTTACAGTTAGAAACGATACAAACAGTTTATAGAGGAAACATCCAAGTTCTTAATTAAATTATGCCACAAACGTGAAGGTAATTATTATTTATTCATTGATTTTACCAAACAATTAATTCTGTCGAAATTATCGTCAAACATTTTTTAATCGATATGTTATGGATATATAAAACTTTCATGTCATCATTCAATGTTAGATTCTGTTCAGTTTCAAATTTGTTTAGAAGAACTTCAAATTCTATCTTGAATCTTTCTTTAGTCGAACTTAATGAAATGTTCAAGTCAAAACTCAACCCTATGTTTGAAATGAATATTATATTTAAGATAGTTGACTGGCGAATCATAACAAAAAGTGATGGTGTAGCTTTATTGTAGTCAATGCTTATGTCAGGATTAGATCGAACAACATACAAAAACTGTCCACAACTTTTTTGATTTGATAGTCGTTCCATTGTTCAGTTATATGGATCATCTCAACGAAAACAGGACAAATTCGTTTTGAAAGAACACGCTTTGAAGAATAGAAGCTCTAAGTTTTGAGATCATTGATTGAATATCTGAAGAGAGATGGAACAATCGCAACAGTCTATTCGTACTTTGTCACATCGCTAACGGCAGAAAATTCAATTTTTTGAAAATCGCATAATATTTAGAGAAAAAACTTCAGGCAGAGATTCTCTAATCTGAAAAGTTCTCTATAAAATGTTGCATTTGGTTTTTAAGAATGCTGCATGACTCCACTCCGAAGTTGTCTAAATGGAAATTATATAGGGTTAAATTATAGCCCTTTTTAGTTTCACGTCTCTAACGCTAGTTTTTAATAGTAACTCGTTCGAGTAACAGTCTATGCAACTGAATCTTACAGGATAACTAAAAGAACTGAGTATTTATGTTATACATAAAAGTTAGCTCAGGAATATTGAGTATGTTTTAATATCTAATTCGAAATTTCTCTTGAACACCCAGAGATTATATCAAATCTGAGATTAAATGCTGACATATGTGTATACGCATGACGTAATGTACTCTCAATTTGATTGTAGTTTGTTGACAAAACAAATATGCAATATTTTTAAGTATACAGATTTTACATGCAAGCGCATGTTAATTATCTATGCAAAAATCTTGTGTAAATTTTGTTTTATATGTATTATCGTTCATCGTCTAATCATAAATCAAAACTTATAAATAAAATGGATATCGATTATTAAATAAGAATTACAAATCTTGATCAGCTATAATAGTCTTGATGGCAAATATTTTGTGAGAGTAAACGATGATATGATCTCTACAAGCAAAACCATGTAATCTGCGCTGCAGCATATCTTCTCATAGCGAACAAACAGGGTGTGCGTGTGTGTAGTTATAAGCTTTCTATTCACTCATACCCACATGCCACACCCACACCTCACTCTTCTCTTTAGGCTCATTTCATCAAATCATCTGCCATAATTTGAAAACGTAAACGCTAGTTTTGAAGAATCTTATGCTCTTGGGTTAAATGAGAAAGAAAATTGTCCACTGAATAACAAATGTGAACTTTCAAAATACAAATGCTAATTCTATTCTTTTTGTAGTATTCAAAAGCAATAGTAGTAATGAGACAACACGAATGGCTACATTTTTTAAAATTCCTCGAAGAGGGTGTGGGTGGGGTGTGAGCGTCGGTATATATGAATATTCTAGTGAATAACACCCAAACCATACTCAAACAACATTCACACCCACACCCTCACCCTCAAAAATTGTCACTGTATGACCTGCTTCTGCCAGAAGTATACCACAGTACAAACTAACAGCACCTAAACATCAGAGAACCAATGAGAAAAAAAGCAGCTTGGAAGTTTTCTAGACAAGTTTGAGGTAGAACAAAGTCCTTTCCATGTACAATACACATGTTACAAGAAAAAAAGCCTGTCATTACAGTTCTTGATGAGGTTCAAATGTGAAACTCACATTCACTTACTCTTATGTACACAGTTAAGATTTTTAACGGCGAAGAAATCTCACGGGAAAACGAAAATAATTAGATCGAATCGAATGTATCTAGAGCTGTGTGCTCATCTCGCATATTTTCGATTTTTTTTGATCATGCCGTTTCTATTTTGAACTCGTTATTTATAAGCTGTCGGCAGTTTGCTTTTGATTCGATGTTTGTATTCATTCTGCTACTGCTCAGGATCAAAATACGAGACACACATTTGAAGTCGTTTCTCAGTTGGAACTCGACCATTTTTCCTCAACGACGCTCACTTTCAGTATTTTGTTGTCATTCCATCTTAGGCATACTGGAATGCTATCGATCGTGCCCAGTAGTGTGCATAACAGCGTTTATACGGTCGGTGAGCAGCCTCGAGGATGAATGCTCTAAATGTGGCTATGCATTCACGTTTTCTTGTTTTTTTTCCTGGTAGGAATGTGAATCGAAATTTCACATTAAACCGTTCACCTTCTACTCTGAAGTCCAGTATAAAACATTAGTTAGACAGAGTGAAATAAATGACAAATTTTAAAATCAGATTGAACTTTTCGATCTGTTTTCTAAATTTTTTGTCGAAAAAAGCTAATCGCTAGTTTTATACAGAAAGAAGTGGGAGAACACTGCAACATGATAGAATTTGGAACACAGGCACAAAAACTATTGAGGATCAGCAGTTAAAAAACGATACGATGTACTAGAGAATAAGATCTCTAGAGATCTTTGATTGTCGAACTCTGTGTTGAGTATTAAGAATTGTCCGAGTCTGTAAGAGAAAGGCAAAGCAGAAAATTGTCGGATACCAACTTTCATTCACTATTGTTATTGTAAATCCCACAAAAGCTTGACATAGATCAAAAGCTGAAACTAACCGAGGTTTTTGTCCATGTTGGTTTTAGAATCTCAAGAGCTTGTTTTATTCCTACAATGTGTCAGAGTTTCAAAAAAAGAAATCTTTCAAATCGATCCATACGGGATGAAAAGATGACACACGAAAGAATTGCTGTACTTGTACACGAGCATCCTCTTTCTATTGACCACAATTCGTGAGTAAGTTAAAGTAGCAACATGTCAAGATGTGATGTCTGTCAGCGTCAGTGATAATATACTTCGATGTTAAACGAAGGTTAAGATGTTCCTTCTAGTCTGATTGGCGTAGGACATCTGCTCGAATAGCAGACGGTATGTGGTTTGAGTTCCATGAAGGTCATCCTTTTCTTCGTGCTTATGGATAACATGTGTGGTACTGCTTGTCCTGTAGATCTACAACTATAGAAGCTAACAGTACCTCGACATATCTTGTTCAACTATAGCTTTTTTTCTAAGTACACGCGGTATATCGTAAATGAAATCGTTTTTATCTTTTAAGAGCGTTGCTCTCAGAGCCTTTTGCAATCTTTGTTGATCCACAATAACACCGGAGATATCGATACAAAAATCTAGAACACCGCAAAACTATTGAAATTATAAGCGGCTAAAAACCATCATTTCAGAATTGCTAGTGTAATGAGAGCATTTCGGCAAAGATTTACAAACCGAAAGTGGGCTATGAATAAGTTACAATGTGACAGTATCGGACCATAAATGATATCAATATAATGCTTTATGATCATATGAGACTGTTTTGTTTCTTGTTGATTTTAGGTAAGAAGCTTGCTATACCACCATGAAAGAGTAGAATACATGCATGTTGTATTTGCTGTCAATAGCATTAAGTTAGCTGAGAAATATTCAAAGAAGGCATCAAAAGAAATATATGGGGATGAACGGTCTGGCCGGGTGACCCATTAATATTTTTTTATTGCAAGGATAAAAGATACTATTGTTCGGGTCATATGAGAGAGGATCATAGATAACCCTGGATCGGCCCGAACAACACCATGTTTTATCCTTATAATAGTAGAGAATAGCAACTAGCTCACAGGATAAGCTGGTAGCNAAAACTTTCATACAAAAGTAAATATCTGATATATGATGTACGATGATAGTTTTCGGCTTATCAGAAACTGAATATTTTATTTTTACAATTATATCACATACTAAGTCATTCAACCGAAACTGGTAACAGTTTGAGATTTGCCACGCCCTCTTTCTTACCTCATATCATAAGAATTATTCGATAGAAATTTAATCTTGGTCATAGATAAAATTTTACATTTTTGCCTAGCATCTCATTATGTGGATAGGTGATCTGAGAACGGATGATTTTCTTTCATAGACTAGCGCAGGTTTCTTTTTTAGCTGTCTAGGTTTCGTCTCATATCACATGATTAGTACGTAGCACCGTTAAATCATTTTACTAAAAGGAAAAGAAAAGAAAAACAATTTACAAACGAAGGAAAAAACATATAAGCAATATTCAAGTTGATCTAATAGAACAAAAAAATCTAAATTCAGTAACGTACTGTTTTTTTCTCTTCTCTTTTTAAGCTAAAATGAAATAGAACATCTTGAAATATTCGAAGCGTTACAGTTCATCATTAGGCTACATAAAATATGTCGTAGTGTCACTTTACTAACATAATCATTCGCAAGTAAACTAAGCAGTACAGAGTAAGTTACATAGATAGATATGTGAGTATGTTAATACATACATATAGCAATTAGTCTTTGTATCTATATTTACTTATGACAATATATATCAATATAGATGTCATGCGTTGTCGTAAGTCCTGATTCTCTGACTTTGGCGCATAATCCTGTTTTTTTTTTCAATTTTCGACATCCTACCTCGGAAAAGACATCTTTTCACATGGATCTAGTCGGATTTGACGGTCAGCATAATCGAACTGGGTAGTTATAAAACAGTGGCTTAGTTTTGTTTGAAATTACGTCTGTTGACGTTTAGAAAAGAAAAGCTCTTCTTTTACGGCGTAACCAGAGCGTAAAAATATGTATTACCTAATAGTTCATGTGTTATTCGTGTATTGTATTGATGCTCTCCATCTTTAATTTATCTCTTCTTAGGATTTGTTGTTTGTGATAACTAAAATAGCTTGATTGATGTTAAAATTGTTCATCGAGATGCCAACCGAGAAAGCGATAGAGTAACGGCTAGTATTTTTCGGATAGACATTGTAGCACAGCATTATTTTCTTTCTAGTTTGTTAAAAGTAGTCACTTGTGATATATTTTATACAGATTTGTACAAGAAGACATATCAGTATTTGTTTGAGTTTAAAATGAATCACGATTATATGATCAAGATTTTCATTCTTTCGATATCTGTAACTGTAAACTATTCTTAATGCAAAGAAAACATGAACTGCCATGTCTGTTAGAAGAAAATTAGATAAGTAATTTTGACTACACTTTGTAGATTTTGAAGTCTTAACTGTTTGTACATATCACAATGCAGATGTACCGATTGGTTCTGACAGAAAAGCTCCAGATCTTGACAGCGGACAGATGTAGTATTTTGAGTCCGAGTCTTTTAAAAATTTTAGGATCATATTCGACTAAATTTTTGTTCTTATTGGCAAGTAACAGTCCGAAGCCATCGAACAAATGGACAGACATATCGGACCGGACGACTGCTTCTATATTCCATCGGTTTCCAGAGTTTTTCTGCTGGATAAGGTGATTTTTATGCATTTTCCCAAAAAGTTTCTATGAAATAGCTTTTTTCCGGAGACGATTATAATTGGTCTAGATATTCTACAACTAACAGATTGTAGTAGAGTTTTCTCACAGATCAAAACACACTGTTAAAATCACCTTTAATGTGTGAGCATCAAGAAAAGTTGAAGAAGATAAAGTAGCGATATTTTATTAATTACTCTTATATTATGTTATTTCGCTAATCAGTTGATCATATTTAAGTATAGGACAATATTACTGGATCAGTTTTATATTGTAGAAACAGTCTCTCAATAACTATCAATCTATTTACTGCTATGTGCATTTTTGTTGTTTCAGATAACAAAACTATCTTTGGCATAATGAATAAACTTAAGAAGTTGTTTGAAAAGGGTGAGCACGAGAGAATAAAGAACGAAGGTAACTTCGCACTTCGACGCAGAAACTCTCGCTTACTCATGAAAGATTCTAATGATCGAGGAATGCTGTGTCCTTTCATCGGCTATGCTCAAGAGACAATACTTCCACTTGCTGATGCGTGCATACCGTTAACAATTATTATTCCCGATATACTTACATATGTTTCAATGGCTCTAGAACGCACTCCAGATAATCCGCCAAATGAATTGACTCGCGATGAATCAGCTTCGATTTATCTATACACAATGGAGTGGAATAATACAGACAGAAGTTTTTATTCCTATCTTAACCATGCTCTTAAGAAAGGTGGGCGAGAGGAACTACAACTGTGGCAGAAATACCTTAAACTTTTTCTTACTGCCCTAGTTAAATTGCCATGTTCAACAGTACAAGTCGTATGGCGTGGTGTACGAAAGAATGCTGCTAATGAATTTCAGAAAGGAGCTCAAATTACATGGTGGACTTTCTCATCCACAACGAAATCATTAGCCGTATTAGAGAATGATCTCTATCTGGGTAGAACAGGAGAGAGGACACTATTTTCCATTGAAGTGTTAAATGGCAAGAATATACGTGCTCATTCAGTTTTTGAAGACGAGGAGGAAATTTTACTATTACCGGGAACATACATGGAAGTACAATCTCTATTAAATCCAGCGCCTGATCTGCACATCATTCATTTAAAACAAATAATACCAAAGGAGCCACTACTGGAACCTCCATTCGAAGGTAAATTAAATATTTCTAATAGTTTATTTTGAATTGAAATATGCTTGTTCTCAGGTGCTTGCCTTTATCCAATAATTGAGTAAGTTTCATCTTGCTCCATCTAACAGAATATACTCATCAAGGATCTGTGTGTTCAGATGAAAACCATACCATACTTTTTGCTATACGGCTTTTAGAGAATATGAACATCCATACGAGTCATTGTGTATCAGTATTATGAATCTATTCATATTCTCAAGTTTCATGCTTATAGCTCACTAATAAAGTTTCTAATTTCAATTGGAAACTAAAATCGAAAATCAAGCATCATAGTCAACATCGTGAAACATTGTTCAGAAGACTATTTTATGACTTTTCCTGATTCGATAAGTTTCAAGAGATTCTCTCTCATGATGTTGCGCCCCTTATTAATAAATTTTAGAGTCATTAGTGTTGTACGAATAAAATTGAGACAAAAGGAATGAGGACTCAATCATGAAAAGTAAGAAGAAAATTCTTTTTCTTTGTCGCAACAGAACTGCTTTTATCACATTTTTCAAATGTATCAAGTCTTTTCAAGTTCATAGGTGAAATGAGCGTGGTCAGCTTCCTCGAATACTAAGTTTTTGTTTTCTCTTAAAGCTTGACTAACCGCTTGGAATGACAATTTTTCGCTCTCATACGAACTGCGCTACATGCTGACAATCACAATAGGATGCAAAACAAGAAAAGTGCTCATATTTATAGTCAAGAAAATAATTATTAGCAATCTGAGAGTTAAATTGATATCACTAGATAGTTTTAGAAACATGATTTCGAAAAATGTTGACTACTGATCTACATCATGCACTTTAGTATTTGAAAACTAAATCCACAGTTTCGATAACAAAGCAACCACTGAAGGCTTCCAAGATTAGCAACTGATACGAATAACAAACTAAGTAATTGAAACATATTTCGCTTGGTATAGCAGCATTACCATTCAATTCCTTGAGTTAGGTTTTGATTTTCAATATTCATGATCAAGCATAGTGTGTATAGTTTTGAGTAGAATAAAATGAATGAATTCGATTGATCATGACAGGTTTCGATCAGCTTTGAGATAGTTTCCGTAAGAATCTTGTGGGTTTTTGTTTGATATAACTAACTGAATTTTTGTTGAAATCTTTTATCAGATCGCCAAGTCGCCGCTGGTATACCCAAAAAAGAATTTTGATTCCAATGTGCATATTGGTGTTGGCATGCATCATGGCAGCCATTCTTGGCTCTATTCTGAGAACTCGGTATAGCAGCAAAACGCCAGGTATAGTTTTAATATACTTTTGCATTAGAAGTATAGGCATGATTCACTCTGAAACCTGTGACTCTCCGGTTTCACGAACGTCAACACGTTGTTGACATAGATTCTCAAAAAAACGTTTCTGCATAAAACAAGTAAACTGCACAGGTTTGTACGAACAGTGCATTTCTCAACTCCTCATTGATCTTACAAGAGCTAGTCGGAAGAGAAGCCACTTTTGACATGTATTCAAACCAAGAGGAAAACACTGATATTATGATGCTGAGCATGAAAAAAATCATTTCAAGAAATTAGGTTCGCTGCAAATATTTAAGATTTATAATTTGCTTGAAAACGACAACACTTTCGCCTTTGGATACCTTACTGGTATTTTTGAGCTATCGCGATCTAAACTTCATAAAACAATACTTTAAGAGTAGATGTTCATAGGAAATCGGATAAACTTCATACAGTAGGGTATTACTTAACGAAAAATACTGTTCTAGTTGGTAAGTTGCCAGAGTATGGAGCAATAATCTATAGAAGTTCCGAGCTCTAATTTATCGAATTTCCCATGAATGGAAGTTGACAATAAGAATTTACACAGCGCATGAAAAGTAGCGTTCACTGTCCATTGTGCGAATGAGTTTGTAACATTCTGTCAGTTTCATATTCTCTTTGTGAAACAAGTTGCACTAGATAAAGTCAAGCTAATGGTAAAATTTCAAAATTCTCTGAGTCAACGATTGGTGTGCTTTGCACTTCTTTCAATAACTTTATTGTTATTGGGATATTTGCATGCGTGTAAGATTATTCTGAAAGTAGTTTACCGTCTCCAGCCGTGCGTATGAAATACACTAAATTTCAGAGATTAACGAAATTTATAATTGTATTACTATTGTTAACTTCAGCTAATATTCTGTTTATATTATTTGTTGCTTTTTCAAAACAACACGAAAGAAAAACCGAACTGAACTAAACACGCACTTAGCAACACACTCATTAAGATCTCTTTTTTTCAAAACAGCGCCTTCATTCACTAACACTATGCATGATAACTTCGCTGATTTTCTTTCATGTTCTTCAGATAGTAAAAATTCTTTAAATTTTTTCAATGATCACGCAATGAATCTTGAATTATTCTTAAAAGATCAAATGACTATCACAAGTACTTGTCTCTAATTAGTGAATAGTTTGAACGCTGAATCCATCTTGATCATCGTGATATACCTGTTTAAACGAAAAAAAAATCATAAGAATATTCCAGTAACAGCGTCATAAAAGTTTTTCAAAATTTATTCGTACTTATGAGTTATTTCAAGTATTTTTCAAAACACCAAGTTTAATCAGTAGGGAGACATTTTTTTCGTTACTTTTGCGAAAATGATGAGAAAATTCTGTATTTAAACAAGCAATACCAGTTGTTTTAAGTAGCATTCACAGCATTCGAAACGTAATTGAGTGCTGCATTTAATAACTCAGAGAGTTCAAGTTTCACTCTTCATATCCAGTTTTCAAAAAGCATAGTTAACAACACCACAGAAAAATAATTATTAAAGGACATTATGTCTAGACTTTTTTTCTTATTACTATCAGCCCCTAGAAACCCGAAGTCGAACGCATAAATTAGTGATCTAAATTGTTTCTATGCACCGATTTTAAAGGCTGACTATTAACTTCATTTTTGATAAACACAGGGATACAACCGAAGTTTTAAAATTGGTACAATTATCAAAAATTGTGACTGAAACTAGCACATGTTAATTCATCAGATGTTGTGGGAACCAGACTGACGAATCTGCAAATACGATCATATTTTTATGAAAAACAGTTACTATCGCATGACTTTGAAGCGAGCTTTTGTAGTTAATACAACTTACAATGATCACACGTAGTATAAAGTTTGCCATTAGGCATGAACTAGTACTTTCAGAGACGAGTCCACTCAATGGAAACGAAACAATTGGTTTTTCAGGTTTCGATTTGTAAGACTAGGGCTCAATCAGAAAGAAAGAAAATCTTACATAAGCAAAACAGAAATACAAACGAACTGACTTAAGTATTATTTCGAGAACCATTTATTTGATTATTGATATTATTCAATATGTATGTTTCGTATTGAAGCATGTTTTTACTACAGAATTGAACCAGATGTATTTATTTTGATGAACTGGTATTTATTCAAAACATACTGCAACACGAAACATGCCGGTGCTCCAAAAATTGTCAAAACTCCTATAGAAGTCGAAAGTACAGTATTCTTCATGATAAAAAATTGTACCCGGATCATCTTATAAACAAATAATCAAGTATTGAAAAAGCACCTTCCAAGGTTGCGAGCGCAATAAACGAAGAGTTTTTAGCAGTAAAAAAATATAACAGCCTGATTATGGATGATTTTTAATGTAATATTCGAATTTCAAAGTGTTCCTGATATTTATGTTTCTATGCCTTTGTGAAGTTGACAATTCTAAACTATAAATTATCATATTTGACAGAGTTCATCGAACTCGAACTGGTAGAGTTAAATATTGCATTATTGAAAGCGGTCTAATGCTTTCTAGAGCCATTTGCAAAATGCGATTATTTTTGCAGACGGAGATAATTATAATTTTTTTTTCTAATAAAATATCTGTGAACTTTTGAAGCTTTTTCATATGCTAGACCAGACAATCTATTGGAATGGACAGAATTGGGCCAGATCCTGTGATTTTAATGGAAATGACCTGTCTCATGTCGAAATTTCAGCAGAGCTCTGCGGTTCGACATGTCTTCACACGCAGAAATGCACTCATTATACGTGGACAACGTTGAATGGGGGTACCTGTTGGATGAAACAGGGTAATGTCTCCAAGGCTGATGCATTTCTAACTAATGATACAACCAGGATTTGTGGTGTTAGAGACTATATCGAGCCAGGCGTAACAAATGTCACCGTTCAATGGAATGGAGCGAATTGCACCAGATCCTGTGATTTCTATGGAAACGATCTATCTCATATTGAAATTTCACCAAAGGTCTGCGGTTTGAGATGTACTCAAACGCAGGAATGTACTCATTATACGTGGAGCTACACGAATGGTGGTACTTGTTGGTTGAAAAATGGTAATGTCTCCAAAGATGATGCAATTCCAACCAATAATCCATCTATGGTCTGTGGTATTAGAGACGATAGACATCAATGTGTAACAATTTTCACCGTCGAATGGAATGAATCGAATTGGACCAGATCCTGTGATTTCTTTGGGAACGATTTTTTGCGTGTTCAAATTTCATCAGAGCTCTGTGGTTTGAGATGCGCTCAAACCCAACCATGTACTCATTATGCGTGGAACAACGGGGATGGTGGTACTTGTTGGCTGAAAAATGGTAATGTCTCCAAAGATGATGCATTCTCAACTAATAATCCAACCGATGTCTGTGGTATTGTAAATGATGATCAGCAAGATATAACGAACTCCATTGTTCAATGGAATAAAATGAATTGGGCTATGTCCTGTGACTTCAACGGGCATGATCTGTTTCACATCAAAATGTCAGCAGAACTCTGCAATGAAACATGTCTTCAAACGCAGGAATGCACTCATTATACGTGGACAACGTTGAATGGGGGTACCTGTTGGATGAAACAGGGTAATGTCTCCAAGGATAATGCATTAGTAACTGATGATCCAACCATGATCTGTGGTATAATAACGAGTGCTAAAGGCCTAGATACAAAGTATTTTTGACTTTTCGGATTCAATTTAACAATGCTGATTATTCGCAACGTATGATCCTACTTAAAAAGATGAACGCTTTGTTTTGTAAATAGTTTAATTTAACATCGGCAAACATGGAATACTTTTGAAAATAAAACATGAACTTAGAATTCTTTTTTCTAGTGGAACTCAAATTTGCTCCATGAGCTTAATGGTGAGAGTCGATAAGTATGAGATTTCAGCCTGATCTGAAACTGCGATAACTAAGCTGCTTTTACATTGATCTTCGAATTGCGACAGTCAAATAGTGTAATGTTGTCTTCGAACAGATTTTGACAGTAAGAGCTTAGCTAATAATGAATCAGTTGAAATTCTGAAAAATATATTGATCGTATACTTGAAAAGAGTACTGAATTCTGGTTTCACCTAAATATTTATCCCTGTCGTGAAATATGCTTAAGCCACTGTGGCATGAACACATCATTCGTAGCAGAACTTCCTTAACAATTGACGAAGTAGTTTGAAAATTGGGAGATGACTGCTGTGTCTTCATGCTGTATCATGGAAAACTCAAAAAAAAAATTCAGAATTACGAATCGGAACACTCGATCGACTATAGTTCAAATGGAGGAAAGGTTTTCACTCAGATTTTAAGTTACGAGCACTCAGGTATGAAATCAATAGTTTTTCAACTTATTATATTCGAATGGTTGCTCCTCTAGCATTGTGTAATTGTACACAAAATTTTCATAGTTGTGATATACTTCGAATATCATATGTTTTTTTTCTTTAAGCACTTTCTACTAATCTATTTATGTGCGTTGATTAATGTCTGTTATAAGTTTATCATTGAATTTTTCATGTTCTAATGTGAAACGTATGCTACTTCTGATTTTGTTACATTTTTTCAACGTAATCAGTTATTTCTTGTTTCGTCATAGTTGCTATAATAAGAATGTCACTGACGCAATGCCACAAGTGATCGTTTTCATTTGGGCTTGGCTCTGCTTTTTTGGATGATGTGGGTGTAGTGTGATTGGAAGTGTGCGTGAGTATGGCTGTGAGTGCGAGTGGAAATGTGTCTCTGGCTACAGCTGGGACTGTTGTTGTCAATGGAAAGAAAATCCATGAGAACACCCACATCCATATTCACATTCATGTGCATATCTCCTTACATCCAAACTCCCCTATATGTAATTAAGTGAAACATTATTTAAGATAAAAAAAACATAATGAAATCACACATGATTGTAATTTCATACATAATATATAGCATAATCCTCATATATAATATGACAACGAAAACCAAAAGAAAAAAATTTTACTTCACATTTATCAACGAGAAGAAAAAGATTTGAAACACAAATATTCTCATAATATCGCTTGAAATTTGTCGAAGTTCGCTAAGAAATTATGCTGCATTGATTGATTTTTTTATTCCGTTTTGGACTAAAATATATTTCAATATAGAATAAAAATGTCACAGAAGCCCGAGGAGGACACAGCAAACTTCAAGAGACGTCATACTAGTTTAGATGACATCATGAGACTTCAAAAGATTTCCGAAGATTGCAAGATACTCCAAGGAATGTCATAGGGCATCACGGAACTTCGAAAATATTCATAGGAATTCAGGATATTTCAAGACTGAAGTCTCTGCTAATTCTTTCTCAGGCTAGACTTGAATGGAATCGAGCAAAGTGCCATAAAGACAACGAAATTGAATTTGTTGTATTTTTTTATAAATTGATAAAATATATTTTACATTCATTGGATATGTTGATCAACGGATCATTAATTTTGTAGAGAATATTTTCGTATACTTACTACTCATCAGTAGTGTCAAGTCTGTATTCGACGCCAATTGACTAGTGTTTCACAGCATCTTCATTCGAAACGACATGTCTAAATATGGCGTGTTTCGTTACAAGATATTCAGTATTTGAAAGAAGATATTGTTTTTAATACGGATGGTCTATCATCAAAACTGATGATAAGGTTCCATAATTATATATCAAAATCATTTTCAAAAAATAATGTTCATTTAAACATACACTATCTCATGCTGATGGTTTCGGCGATTAATCTTGATTGATATACACGAATTATGGAAAAAAAGATTTATTTTGTTAAATGAGATTACAAAATAGATGATTATGGAATTGTGAGGCCTATTGTCAGCATTCATTAAATGCTTGTAACAAAGATGCTGAAGTTTCTTCGACTTTCAGCTCGAATTCGCCTTCTCCACTATACTTAGACGTTCGAACATACCATTTACCTTCAAATTGATTATTTTTCGAATTCCAAGTTAATTGTATAGTCGATATATGACCAAGATTCTCGTTTGGATCACCTGTTCCTTCTACGTATTTCTGCGTTAGAGCCAGTCGAAGATTTTCCAAAGAAAAAATACCATCGAAAATAAAACTACCGACGTCATCTGTTCCTTCACCAGTCACTTTGCCTAAATAACGATCGAACGAGAGTGGTAATCGATAAGGTCCATGCCACTTGCCATATTGATAATATCGAAAAGACCAGATCCCTGTCTCCAAAGGATCTCTTTCGTAGTTGCGATTTCCTAGATTATATTCACGGATAAAATCTGTATTTACTTGTGATGGTCTGCCACGTGTGCATCGACGATAGCAAGACACAATCCAACATGTTAGTACGCCCACTCCGACCAGTGCACCAATAACGGCAGAAATACTATCTTGTAGATCACATTCACGAGTACGACATGGTTCTTTACGACTTCTTGAACCTAAAATATCAATAGAACACAATATAAGTTTTAAAATGAAATGAATATTAAAACACTTAGAGTGAGTGTTACTAATAAAGACGAAAAAAAAACGACTGATCTTGATTGATTTAGTGCGCTGCTATTATAATCTGAAATGAATATATTTTGATATACGTATTATCGTTCCAGGGTTGTCTTTCAAATGTTGTAATAGTCGACTTCCTATTTAAAAATATTTTTATATGAGGTTTCAATGGCAGCGCTCCATTTCAATCAAAATAAGACACTTGTTTTTGTCGTTATTCCGGATACTCACTCCACTTGTAACTTACTACTGTTGCTTCTACTGCTATCACTACCACCTGGACATCGAACAACAGTTGTTAGTAGAGCCAAGATGAGAATTAGATGTGTTGTGATATACATCGTTTAATCTTGAACAAAATGTGGTTCGTATAGGTTCTCTGTCAAATATGATAGTTGCAACAGTATGATATATGGCGCAAAGAAATAACAACTCACACCCGCTTTTTCTATCCAAAGAGACATCCATTTCTTTTTTCAATAAAATCTAAATTTTCTGGTAAAAGTCCTCATCTGTCTCTCAAATAATGCTCATTGCTACGGAAATGCGTTGAATTTCTGAAATTTTCATTTAGATTTACGAATTTTTCAATGAAAATAATTCAAAGTCTTATCTTTAAGTTTCAGATGAAATACTTGAACAATATCAAAGTTAAGTACTTTAGAATAGTAGTGCATAATCAAGCTCAAGCTAAACGATCAAACAAAAACTTCTGTGCTGATAGATAAGTTTAAGTAGAACACGATTGTATTGTAACGAAATATTCACATACATACTTGTACGCTATGGTCACTTTTCTGCCCTTAATTATCAAAACATCTTACGGAGCAACTGAGTTTCTGCATACGGATGTAGCATGTATAGACACTTAAGCATCGTATTTTTAAGATTGAGTTCAGGAAAAAACACCCTATATGAACACCAGCTTTTCATGTCTATTGAAGCTCGACTATACATCATTACTTTGAACGTATGTGAACATCATTCACCTCAGTCTATCCCAAAAGTGTTCAAATGAATAACAAAGTCAGATAAAGTTTAAAGCCTCGACTAGAAGCTTTAGTTTTTTTACGAAATTCTCGATGTTAAAATATTGTTTTTCGAATAACAAATTTAGAAAATAATACAACCGTGATACAATGTTGTTAGTTAGTGCTTATTCAAGTCAAAGAAAAAATGTAATCATTATAGAAGTTTTTTCTTAAAATTTAGTTTTATGTTAAGTTTCTTTCCGAGCTGATCATGATCTGTGACAAAGTTAAACATCTCGACTTATTTGTTACAGTGTTTGATAAGAACAAAAATCGTATTGCAATCAAGAAGAAAAAAAACCAACAAAATGAAAGAATGAAAAATAAAAAGTTTGCCTAGAGTGAACTAAAATCGATGTTACAAAAAATCGAATTTCATACATCCACATGTTACTTTACAAGAAACTTATACTCTCTAACATCAGATAACTTCAGTTCTACTCGGTGTTTATCATAGAGAATCAATAGAGATATCCTCCGTTGCCTGCTCGAATCACTCAAAACTATTCGTGTAGTCAGAACAAAATGAGTTCGTGCAAAAAGAAATAGCCAGATACATTCATAAGTCAATGGATGGTCGCAAAAGTACACATACTTGCTCGTTCAGTTACTTTCTTTGATCAGTGATATAGAAAACGACGCGCACCATGGAAAGAGAGAACGCAAAAGTGAAGAGAAGTAAGACAAATCCCTCACCATTTCATGTGTGATTAGTCATCTTTTCCTGTTACTGTTTCAATGTATGCCTTTCTCTTTCTCGATATCTATCTCAAGGGTTTTATTCAGTCGTCATCAAAATAAACGACCTCAATACTAATAAGTGACTGGTGAAATTATTCTTGTTCTAGTTACAACAATTATCTTTATTCTAAGAATATCTAGGTACTCAATACAAAAAAAAAACTAGACCATTTTGACCCGATCAGCACTTGATGGAACCCACCATAATTCAACAAAACTTCAGGAGAGATAGTCAGAAAACAAATGAGACCATCAATTCAGGCAACAGAAACAACCGATCTGGGTAAATAAGAATAGACTATTAGTGTAATTAGTGATGAAGGATCAATGATGACATGTATATTGAAACAGACACCAGAAAAGACTGACTTGATCAGACAAAAAGAAACGCCAACAAAAAAAGAAATTTGTCTCTTTTCTCTACGATGTTGCGCTCGTTCTCTCTTCTACCGGCATCTGTTTATATGTCACTGAATCATGCGATCGACGACACGCACTCATATGTCAGCGTCTCAAACTCTCGATGAACTTATGAGTTACTCTGAACTTTGAGGTACTATAATAAAGTGAAAATTTTGGCGTTCTGCTCGCATTTTATTGGCTATCAACTTCTATATGACGTAAATAAAATTATCTTTGGTTAGAGTGTTCGACAGACTAGATGAGATCAGAACAGAAAGCATAAAAAACAAACAAGAATGAAGAAAAAAAGTCGACCGAGGAGGAAGGAAGGATCCATAGATCAATTGATGGCAAATTAATTGTACCAATGATTATTCAACAATTATTATTATCTTCGCATGTTCCTTCAAAGTCAGTTTCGTTATAAAATTCTCACATTTTAAGCATTTCGATTTATTTACTACCGATTGAATTCTTTATCAGTCTGCTGCAAGATATGCTCTGGTATATATAGCTTTGAAGAGACACGTTTTTCTCTCTAACTTGATTCTGAGAAATTTCCAAAATCGTGTTTCATCAATTGGTCATGTGTAATACATTTCCAAATAGCATTGGCAACCTCTAATGCAATCATCAAGTGATTCGATGACAGTAATGATGTTTATCTTGCAAAAGAAATTCTACAAAGCAAAAATTTATTCCAACTTTGATAGACCGAAGTGTCTGATATCAAACACGGCATAAATCTCAGAGATTCAATATAATGGCGAACATCTTCCAAAATTCTACTATTTTGGATACAAAGCCTCTTATTTGACTGATCAATTATAGCAAAAATAGCACGGATCAACGTTACTCTTCTTTTGAATAGATGAAGAAAAATAAGTATCAAGAGTTTTTCTTTTACTATTTTCCATGAATCAACGCTCTGCGCAAAAAGTGTAACATTGTGATTTACAATTCGTGCGGAAAATTATTCATTGTTCTCGAGGCGTAATTAAACTTGCCATTCTTTTTTGTCAGTACTTTTTAAAAATCTTGCCTTCTCTGATTTTACACTAATTATTACTTGGTTGTTTATAAGTGTCAAAAAGTCCAAAGAAAAACTAATCATTTACGTGTCTTCTATTATTTCATTGGACAAGAATAAAATATACAAAGTTTCACTCTTCAAATGATTAAATATGTTGATTATTAAAATTAAAAATAGAAATTTTTAAAGGGTGAAGGAGATGAGTTCCCTCTAGCTCCTATTTGAAAATGCTATTAGAACCGACATAGAGAAAAAGTGACGATAGGTGATGATCTTGTCGAACAAAAAAGATGATCGAAATCAGTAATTTATGATCACCTATGTCTTTACACATCTCATATTGGTAGAACGATTGAGAATATTTCAAATAGCTCTAGTCAACCAACAATTGTTCATCCCATCTGTGTAATGAAACAAAATAAAATATAACGAATGTATGAGAAACAAATTTTAAAAAATTTAGAAAAAAAAAAAAATTTCAAAACTTTTATGTTTTCTAATTAATTTCATTGAAGAAAAATAAGTTTTTAATATTTAGTTTGTGTACGAGCGTGTAATTTTAAGTCTGAATGTTTATTGAAAGATAAACGTTATCAAATTTTTCCTTATTTTATGAACCATTTTTTTAACGTGTTGTAGGTTGCAAAAAACTCATTTTTCCATTTTGAACTTTCATGAGACCAAAAACGAACTTTTTTACAATTTGTTTCCTTTCCATTTCGTTTTATTGATTTAGAGTGTGCGTATGTGTGTTCTTTCCACTCACACCCACATCGTATCCTTATTTGAATTAGAATACAAAAAAGTTATCAACGAAATGCTTGTCGTATGAAAAATAGAAGACTATTAATGAGCCATGTCCTTCAATGCAAAAAAAAAAAACTTTTTACTTCCAGGAGTCAAAAGCTGATAAACAGAAGTGCTTATCCAATTTTTCGTTAGTTTCATTTTTTTTCGCCATAAACTTCCACATTTTTCGTTAAATCGTATTATAGTAGATATTCGTAAGTTGAAAACATCAAAACAACATGTGACTCCAACAGTAATATTTTTAATCATATTCTTAAAGACGATGAACTGCTATGAAAAAAAGCATCAAATTCATCGCTCAAAAGACTTTAAATTCCATATGACACTTGCTATGCATCTCATTGCTGTACTGCTTAACTTTGCAGATCTACTCAAAATATAAAACAATACCCTTGAGTCAAATTTATATGATGGATCGATAAAACCATTATGAATGATTCAATTATCTAATAAAGTCTCTTTCAATGTCTATTTCATTATCAAAAATTTACTAGTATTCAAAATCCTCTGTATTCGCTGATTGTACAGATCGAAGTCTTTTAAAAAGTTATTTCGATTAATTAACATATTTATACGTTTAAATTAATTCAAAAGCTTGATCAATATAAAATAAGTTATATACAAGATTTATAACTAGATATGTTATTCTAATTGATAAATCAAATCTTGCAATATGCTCATTTGTTGATGATGATAATATTTGTGCATAACATGTTAAACTAATAACATCTTTTAAGTCTTCAAAAAGTTTATTTTCATTATTTGCTATTAAATAATTGAATTCATCCAAAGCGTGAGTGAGGGTTTGATAATAGTTGTTTTTTGATTTATTGCTGTACTGGTTTCTATTTTGACCAATCTTAATAAGCGATTCTATGTCCCTCTATCAAACTGACTTTTGCAAGTTAGTAACCAACCTGAAAAGAATCATATAATGGCATAAAAGAAATTTCGCAGTAACAATAATCTGATTAAATTTTCAATAGAAATGGAGACAAATGATGAATTAGATATTGATAAACTTGTTCAATATGAACTTGATGCACTTATACTTGATGATTCAATTGATGATGTTATTGATGATAATCCAATTGATACAAACGAAATAGAAGATGAACAAATAATAAATGAAACAAGACGAAATTTAGAACGTGAAATGCATGAAAGATTAGCAGCATTTGAAAATGAAGTTAAAGTTAATCTTAAACGATATGAAATTGATTATTCAGAAATAGATGAATTATTACAAAAACCAATTGGTCAATATGAAAATGATATTGAAACAAATGTTGCACGAGAATGTGGAATCGAGCGAGAAGAAGTAGAACGAGTAAATAAAAAAATTAATTAAAATTTTTCTTTAAAAAAATCATACATATATATATATATATATAATTTAGATTTTACATAGTATCAATGCTGAAGACCCACCATTAGATTCAATAATTGATTCAGATTCAACAGAATATGAAGATCCAAAAATTGAAATAATAAAACAGAATATACCAATCATTGATACTGATAAAGTAATGAAATTTTAAGATTCTCTATTCAATACGATTTTGTATTTATCTTCTAGTCAGTCGAATTGACACCTCGAAAAGAAGAAGAAGACCCGAATAAAAAAATATATGATGAACGTCTTGCTGAGTCTCATCGTCGTATGTTTGATGAATTAGCATTACTTGAACAACGACGAAAAGTAAGTTTAACCTCTGGAGAACAAGTTTATTATGGGTAGAAATATCAATTTTTAAAACTCTGAGATACTGTGCATACATATACATATGATGGGCAGAGCCAGAATACACTAGAAGAGAAAGAACTCGAATGAAGACAACTAAGACACTACATGAAAAACTGATGTTAGATGTTATCCTTTATCGGATACCCAAGAAAATAGTATAGAAGTAATCGGTCTCATTGCGGGAAGAAAGAAGATGGACGAGTATCATAATAGACTAGTGGTGTAGCCGCCAAATGACTCGATACGAATGAACTCTCAGAATCAATGGGATTCTTCCCACTGAAAGACAACGTGAGCCTCATAGTAGAAATTTTCTTTACTAGCTACTTCCCCGATGAAAAATTTCGAGTTACGCCACCATAAGATACATACTGAAGTTAATTACTAGTGGAAATCAAAACTGCAGCACGTGTATGTGCTGTCCACTTCCGAACGGTTTAATGGATTTTATTTTGATTTTCTATTATATTTGAAAATATTTAGGAAGAAGAAGAACGTTATGCTATTGTACTTCAAGAGCAACAAGCATGCCTAGCTGAAGAATATCGTCGTTTACAAGTTTCGATCAGTTTTCATTCTTCATTTTTAATAATTACAAGAATTTTATTTTCATAGGACACCTTAGATGAAAGTGCACGTCAGACTTTTAATGAAAAACTGCAATTTGAAACCTTATGTCGTGAACAAGAACGTTTAACCCATGAACGACACAACAAAATGGCAACTATTATTCAAGCATGGTATCGAGGAAAACGGTAAATTCATGTGTACTCTTCTTTTAATATATGAAATAAAATCACATCTTACAATTTTTCAGTATTTATCGTCAATATCATGGAGAAATAATAAAGCGTGTAGCGCCAATATTAAGAACAATCGCTAAAAGACGTAAGAAAAAAGAGCAAGAAGTTTTAGCTAATGCTGCTAAGTTAGCAAAAATTCAAGAAGTAAATATGATTGAAAAAGAAAATGATCATAAAATAGAAACAACTTCAATACCATTACCAACAAGCGATCGTATATCATCTCCATTACCAGAAGCTGCTAATAAAAAATTAAATCAACCACAGAAAACTGTACCATTAACAGAAACAAGTATGAAAATATTGATTTGTTTCTTGTTTTTCTTCTCAGCTAATTTTTTTTTTTCTGTAGAAGAAATAGTTCCATCAAAAGAAAATTTAGTTAAAAAGAAGAAAATTCAACAAAAATCACAAACTGTATCAAAACAAAGTTCAAGGTAAGTCTGAATAGAACTAAAGATGTAAACCGATCCATTCATCAACGGTAGCTGCTCACGAGGAAACTCTCTGAGTGATGTTCGTCATCACCTATAGATAGATATGGTGACTCTGGGAACGTCTTGAAAGTTTCTCTCGGAAAGCATGTTTCTTTGTCAAGATATTGAATTTTCAAGTAAACTCGTTTTTCTGGCAAACGACAATTTTTTAGAGAGTCAATATCTAAACAAAAGAACATTCTTGTCGACTGAAAATTTTAGGATATTCTTAGAGTTATGAGACATATATCTACAGCCAAAATATCATGTCGAAATTTCATTATTTAAATTATCGGTAAATATCTAAAGCTGGATCGAACACTCACGTCAGTGTAATGATCTTAAATCGGCTCTAGTGGCCCATGAATACAAACTTTTTTTAGAATTTTTCTAGTCTTACGAAGACATCCATATATGAAGTGAATATGAGTTTAAACAGCGAGAATTACTTCATGTAGTTCTCTCATCAGTCGATTGGCTTACTCCTCTAAGTAGAATAGTACTTTTTCTAATCGTTACCATATTTCATTACAGCTCGTCATTACCAACAACTGAAATTGTTCAACTTGAAAATCCAATTGATTTTATTCCAACCATTATTCCAGAACAAAGAACTATTTCATCACCTCGTAAAATTCATGCAGAAAATAATAATAATGCAAGTGATATTCATCAAATATCTTCATCGATTCAAACAAAAGAACAACGACCAAAATCATCAAATAAACGTCAACATTCAGCTAGAACTGAACGAACACAAATTTCAATTACTACGAAGTAAATAATTAAATAATAATCAATTTTAAAATACATTTTTTAAATTCTTAGTGACTTACCTCCAACAAATAAAAATATTTTCACTACTGAACAATTCAATATGACTCCAATCGAATCTAATAGTTCCTCAATGTCAATAACACGATCGAATACATTTGAAAAAAATCCTGGAAGTCCAAGACCATCAATTGAAAATATTCACATTCAGGCAAAATCAATAAATCGATCTGATACATTTCACAAAGAAACCGAAAACTTTTCACCAACACCAATTGAAAGTACTTCAGTGATTAAATCAATAGATACAGTTCCATCACCATCTATAAATCGATCGGATACATTTCACAAAGAAATAGAAAGTTTTGCACTATTACCAATCGAAAGAACTTCAGTCGTTCAATCAATAGATACAGTTCCATCGTCATCCATAAATCGATCGGATACATTTGTTAATAAATTCGAAAAATCTCCATCACCACCAATCGAAACAACTCCACAACATCAATCTAATACATGTAATAATAATTCTCAAAGTATTTCATCAACAAATGAACGAATATCAGTTAGAAAATCTCTAGATACATTACCTATAGATCATTCATTGATATTAAAACAATCTGAAATAATCTCAGTCAAACCTGATATTCCTTCAACACCAAGAATATCAACTCCTCGTAAAACATCCAAAGAAGAACAACATTCAACTAAAATAACAAATACATTTTTAAACGAAGCTCGTCGTTGGGCTCAACATACTCGTGAAATAACTTATTCTAATCTAATTGTTTCGAATGAAGAAACAAATCAACAAATACCAACACGTAAAACAGGTATTACACTTCGAAAATTACCTGATATTGATTCTCAAATACTAATAAAAGCAGTTAAAAATCAATCTTCAAAAGAGGTATTTAAAAAAAAAATGTTACATATGAAAATAATCAATAAAGTTTTTTTGTTCTTCTTTTTCTCTTCATCAGATTCATTATTTACTTCTTGAACAAATTCTCACACCATGTTCATTATCTTTAATTGGTACAATGTATTCAAATTTAACTCATCTTATTCTTCGTCAATGTAAGCTTGTTCAACTTATTGGTCTTGATTCATGTACATTACTTACTGTTCTTGACATAGAAGTAATGTCTTTTCTTTTTGTCCTTTCATTTTTTTTTTCTTAAATTTAATCGTTAAAATAATCATAGGGTAATTGGCTTGAACAAATACATATTCAATTAAATCATTTAGAATATTTAAATATGTCACGAAATCGTATAACATCATTACTTTCAATAAATACTCCATGTTTAAAATATCTTGATGTATCAAAAAATCGTTTAACACGTTTAAATGGACTTGAAACATTATCGAATTTAAATATTCTTCGTGCAACAAGTAATCAATTATTAACAACAATTGGTTTACAAGGTTGTACAAATTTATTATATATTGATGTGTCGGATAATCATCTTGTTGAAATGGAACAAGTTGATCAATGTCCATTATTAATAACAATAAAAGCTAATTCAAATGCACTTATACAAATACCAAATTTATATAATACTATTTTATTAAATGAACTTGATCTTTCATCTAATAGTTTAACATCATTTGATGAATTATCTATTGGATCATGGTTACCATATTTAACACATTTACGTTTATCAAATAATAATTTACAAGAATTATCATCTATTAAATTACCATCATTAATTGAAATTGATTTAGCATTTAATCAATTATCTGGTAAGAAAAAGGATGGGAGCGCGTTTGTCTATAAAATCATTCATCTTCCTTTCAATGTTCTGACTTCGTGTTTTATAGATGTTTCGATAGAACTCGTTGAGCAGAGATTTTTTTGTCATAGAACTTAGTCTTTAAAATGCAACCCTGGAAAAATATTATCGTAACAATCATATTTGGGATATCGACGAGGAAAACTTTTCTTCAGAGAACAGACGGCGATTGGAATACTGTTTTTTATTAGAAAATATGTTGAGTTTTATCGGTTAGTTCTACTCAATATCTAAGACCATCAACAGAATTATATTCAGCAGGCAAAATTGAATTGATCTATGTATGTTTTGGCCGCATACAACAACTTTATTTCGTCAAAAAATTTAGCTCGGCTCCATCTCAGGGATGTTTCAAAAAATCAATTCATTGAAAATCTTGTTTCAATTACATAAGTATATTTCTTTAGAGGCCTTAATAGAATATCAACTGGTTGAAAACTGATTTCTTATTGTCAAGATGATGTTTACTCTTGTCAATTTCAAGATATATTGGGTGAACAAACGAGATAAAAAGGATAAACATTGTTGCAATAATATCTTTGCAGGATTGCATTTTGAAGACTAAGTTTTATTACAGAAAAATCTCAGCTCAATGAGTTGTTCTATTAGCATATCTATGAAAGATGAAGTTAGGACATGAAAAGTATAATGAACCATGTTGCAGATGAATATGCTCGGTCGTTTCAATAAGAAAATTATTTTGACATGATTTTTTTATTATAGATGTATCAATGTTAAAACGGTTTCTAAAAACATGTCCATCATTATGTCGAATTAATTTAGAACAAAATCCAGTTCTATGCGATATAAAAGATTCATCTTTAATTGAAGAAAAATCTTCTAGAAATCCAATATCAATTTTACCCCAATCATTAAATGAAAAATCATCACAATCAATTCAATTATATTTAAATTTTCTTTCAAATATAACTTCAATGTTTATTAAACTTCGTCAAACAATTGAACAATATCAAATTGAACCAATTCATTTAATAAACTCAATTCATAATCGATGTCAACAATATTATGAACAAAAAATCATAGAACCTATTGAAATTTCTGAACCAATTCTTCCGGTTACTAATGATATTAAAAATATATCAGTAGAAGAACAATCTATTATTCGATTACAAGCTCATTGGCGTCGTCGATTAATTGAACGAAATTTATCACTAAAATGGCGAGCAGCTCAAAAGATACAAGCTCATTGGCGTGGTTATGCAGTACGACAACGTATGCGTTCAGTTCGACATTTATTTAGTCAACAACAACCACAAACATTTGATGAAATTGATTTAACTCAATTTGATTTTGATGAAGTAAATCATAAGTATTATTTTTTTGTCTATTTAATTTTATTGATGATTTCATGTTGTCAGGCAGCTTTTGATGCACGTTTTCAACGACCACGTACACCATCTGCTCGTGTTCGGCAAGTTTGGCAACCTCAACCTCAAATCTTTTCAAAAACTACGACTATAACAGAATTACTTCGTCCAAATTCATCACGTTCATCATCAGCAGCTTCATCACGTGCTAAACCATTAATAGAACCATTATCTATACAAGCTCGAACTGATCTTATTACAAATGAATGGGGTTTTGCACCATCAAGTTCAACAGCAGCATTAATGTTAAAACGTGCTGAAAAAATGAAATGGAATGCCGAACGAAAACATAAACGAGAACATTTGGGTTTGTTTGATATCTTAAAATTTTATGTATAAATCTAGTTCGTTCGTTTTTTACTAGATGCTTATCAACGTTTACAAAAAGCACGTCAAAATGAACAACCACCTGGTTCATTAAGATTGGCTCGACGTCAACCAACATTAACCAATACTACTACCAAACCGATTGTACAGACAAAAAGTATAAGTTATTGTACTATTGTTATTAAAATACAATGGATGTGACTATTTTTCGAAAAACTAGAGAAAAATAAGAGATAGAGACTTGCGGATTTTATCATTCGCACGACAGCATTTCAAGACATGAATGCACGTCAAAATTTCATTAATCAGCAATTAATTGACCAAACTAGAGAAGATTGGTTTCTTTCAATCTACTGAAGATCGACATTGATAACTTGTTTTATTCAAGAAATTTCAGAGTTTTGTAGTGTACTCGATTTCTGTTAATTGATTTTATATTACCTTCAATGATTAAGATCGTTTTTCACCCTAGAATGATAAATCATCTGTGTCTCGTTTCCTTCCAGGGGTGGTCTAAGGTCAATTTGCCGAAATCATGAATCTCGAGAAAACCTCTATAGCTGGACAACGAAAAAAACTTTCAAGGTCGATCTTGTTTAGATTGAAAGACAACTATTTCCTGTATCATATAGTCAGTTCATAAATCGAAGTCTAATGGAAAATTTTTTCAGAATATCATTTTGAAGACTACTGAGAACTTATCTAGTTAATCAATTGTCTTGTTGTTTTTTCATCATTCGGAAAAATAGTCATATTCATTGCTTTTTGAAAACGATATTACTTTGCTAATCGATAGTTCTATTTTTGTCTTTTAGCTTTATCTCCTCCTTCTACCGGTCAATCTCGTTCAAATCGTGTTTTTCAATGGGTACATACTCAAGTTGCACGATTCGATGAGTAAGAACTTATTTATATATCAAATGAAAAATCTTCTATTTGATAATTAGTTCTTCATTGGAAAATATTCATACTCCAAGAAATGAACCTAAACGTTTACCAAGTCTTGATGGTTCAACTGATTCAATGAATGTAACTATTATAATGAAAGTATTTTTGTAAGAAAATATATTGTTGATTTTTAGCGAATGCGTTCAAATGAAACTTTACAACAGCAACAACAACAACAGCGATGGTCTTCTTCAACAGGTAAAAACAATGTGTTACTAATAAAATACATATATATTATATTCGATTTTTTATAGTGTCTGTTCGTCAACCACTACCATTATTACCACCTATTAGTGGACATTTACCACACCTTTAGTTTTGAACAAAATTCAGAGTCAGATTTCAAGATTTATAAATTATTTTATACAATAAAATATTTTTTTCAAATGTCAAGATTTATATGAAAATTCAACTTGTTTTATTATAAACAAAAATATTGAACTACATTAACGTTAGATTACTTGACAAAAAAAATACAGTTATCCCAAGATTTGTTCTATGAATAATATTAATTATACATGTAATGTCATAAAAATAATGACGAATACATGGTGTTCTTCTTCGTATATATATATAAAAGTGTAAATTTTACTTAGATCTTTGTATTATTTCAGAAAACGATATATTTCGCGTTGAATTCTACAATAGTACGCGTTGTCAATTTCTTTTTTGAAGACAAAAAAAGAAAAATGAAGTAGAATAATCTCAAGTATTTCATGACGTGATGTAATGAAGATATTTAGTGCTCATTATTGTATTTAAAGAAAAATTCGTTGTTGAATTGCATTATCAAAATTTTTCGCTAGTTGAAATATTTCATTGTTTACAGTCGAACAATATAGCAATAAAAGATACGAAAAACAAGTCTCTCCGTCGTATTTTTCGTCGAATTATATCAGACATAATGCAGTCGTGGATACTATTGATAAAGTCTATCGAGTTCTGGTCTGAAAATTTTGATCTCAACGGATTCTAGTCGTCTAGAAAATGTGTAGGGTACACGTGTCACTGAATATAGCAAACCGAAAAAAAGTGTCTTGTATTTCCCAAGACGAGTTAGAGCTAATAATGACACAGAGATCTATATCTTCTAATTATCATTAAATTCAGTGAAAAGACGTAAGTGTAGCTATCTTCATCATTCTCATCCACACCCTAAATTCCACGCTAGATGGAAGGAATAGATATCTAACTCATATGTATATTATATCTTGAATTACTTATAGCCTTGAATGCTACAAAAGCTAGAATGAGCGAGAATATATCAGCTAAACTTTGTCACCTGTCCCCTCATTCTCAAAATCCAGAATCAGAAAATTCATAACTCCAATGAATAGTTGCTATTAAAACAATAAAACCACAACAACTATTGTTAAATGAATTGGAAACCATTCTTTGTTAAAGATTCAACTCTAATCAACTAAAAATTTCTTTTCTCTATAAAAGAAGAATAAGAAAAATTTAACCAATAATTCATCTCAATGCCAAGTATAAAGATAAATAATAATAATAACCTGATGTATAGAGCTACGTCATTCATAATTTGTTAAAAAATAAAATAGTTCATTATGAAATTTAACTTCATATTATTCTCTTCTGAAAATATAAATTTCTTAATTCAATTTTCAAATAGTTGTATGTGAAGAATGTCATCAAATACTGAAAAAAAAACATGTAAGATTGTTAAATTGAAGAATTTCGTTTTAATTCTTCAGAATGAACGGACATCTATCGAATAAAAAATTCAATTCGCTTTTTATCATCTTTATTTTATTGGCATAACATTAATGACTTGATTGTTATCTTTTTTTTGTGACAAAATCACATTTTATTTTAATCCTATACATCATACATTAACATATTAAAGTACAAATCATGACGAAAAAAGCCATATGGAATGGTCAAATTATTGCTGAAAGTGACAAAACAATTGTCGTAGAAAATAATCATTATTTTCCACCGGATTCAATTAAAAAAGAATTTTTTAAAGATTCAAATACTCATACAACATGTGGTTGGAAAGGTGTAGCATCCTATTATACAATAGTTGTTGATGGTAAAGAAAATAATGATGCAGCTTGGTATTATCCAAATGCAAAAGAAGCAGCTAATAATATTACAGGTTACGTTGCATTTTGGAAAGGTGTTAAAGTCGAATGAAATTTTTATTTTAATTGACTCTTAATAATCTAATCATTTCTTGGCATTTTCCTGAGAATATATAAAACAAAATAAACTATACAAAGAATTCAATCCGTTGATATTGTCTTTTTCTTGATTTCTTTCCATGCGAAATGATCACATCGTGCTTGTGGATTACCAGGAGCACCATTAGCACGTGAACATACATAAAAATATCGTCCCCAATTAACAGATGATGTATCTTTAACTTGACGTATAACACATCGTTCTTTATGACCAGAACATAATGGTGGTGGTGTTGGAGGACGAAAAATTTGATTCCATGTAGCTGTTTTCTTTGGTTTTTCGTTAGTTTCAGGATTCGATGAAGAAATAACTTCAGTATTCTTTAAGAATAATGCATAAATTGCAAACAAAAAATTAACAAATGAAATACATACTTCAGGTGTTGAATTGTTAGAGGACGATGGTGAAGGAGTGATTTTTGGTTGCGAAGCTCGTTTGAAATGTTGAAAAAGTGATGATTGATCTGATTTGATTTTTTTTAATGGAGGTTTTTTTTGGATTATTGTTGATTTGTCAATAACTTCTTCATTTGATTGATTAATCTGCAAAAATAAAGAACTGTAATGTAGTGCTGATTCTTCGTCAAAGAGCTTATCAATAGTTTCAATTCTTTCAAATTTAGATAAAACATATGTATGAACTGGAGATATGCAGGACCCGATGTAAATATTACAGTCAACTGTTCTGTTGTTTTAAGCGAATCATTTTATAAATCACATATGTTAAAATAAACTCAAGAGTGCAGTTGAAAAAAAAACGTATATTTAAGATTTTCTTTTTTTTAGATTACTTACGAATCTATTTTGAAATAAATACTTCTAGATCAGAAGAATACACCGGCATCAGGTCTTAGAAAAAGTGAAATGACCGATGCCCTAGCCGACAGCAAAAATCTTAGTCTAGCAAAACTTTAGTATCAATTAATTTAAGAGGAACTAATAGACTTTTAATTAGTCTTAAACTTATACTTTTTTTGTAGCAATGTCTTCCATGCCTTTCGAGACGGGTGATGATCGCTTTAATAAATTTTCGATTTATACTGAAAAATCAACAAAACAAAATTCCGGTGTAAAGTTTTGCCTATAGATAAGGTCAAATGATTTATAGCATATCGGGATGAGTCTTCATTTGTCAAGATATTGAAACTAAAAACAATAAAATTGCTTGTCATAGAAACATGTGAAAAATTTGATATCTCAGCAAAAGAACCTTTCAATTATCATATGCATCATTCAAATTATCTATGAACAGAATTTTATTTTGACGTTTTGTATCCTTTTACTCTATGCAAGATCTATCGAATATTTTTGTTATCCAATACCATTCGAAATGGTTTACAGCATAGAAAAATAACTGTCATTATACTTACTTTTCTATTTATTTGTTGACTTGTTGCTGTTATTTCGCCTACGTGCTGTTTTCTACAAAAATAAAATCAATTGAAACTTTATCTCTCGTTTTTTCTCTCATTCATCTCTTACTTATCATCATTAATATCGATTTCTTCGTCACGTATTCGTTTTGTTTTAACAATAAATTTATTTAATTTCATTTGTGTACCTTTAAATTCCGGCCAAAATTTTGTACATATTGAAGGTGGTTTTCCTTGTGAACGATCTTTAAATATAAAATTAAATTCTCCAATAACTGGACAATGATCACTTGATTCAATATCAATTCGATGTTCACATTTAACAAGATGTGACGTTGATATCATACCATCACATAGAATATAATCAATTCGTACACCATAATTATTAACTCGAGCACTTGATAATGTTTCCCAACATGTATAAGCTTCACGTTGATCTGGATGTAAATAACGAAATGTATCAATAAAAATATTTTTATTGATAAATTTCGAAAACCAAAGACGTGATGGACTTGAATTAAAATACTAAAACAAATAAAAATAAAGTTTATGTAAAGAAATTATTATCTTCTATTTACATTAAGATCTTCTCCTGGATCACATGTATCAATTGGTTTATGAGAAACATTAAAATCACCAACAATAAGAACACGACTTTAAAAATAAAAACGAAAAAAATCTATTTTTTAATTTTAAAATATGAATTATTTACCATCCACGTTGTAAAAAGCATTTAGCACGTTGTTCAATTGCAGAAAAAAAATTTAATTTATAAGTTAATCGTTCAGGTTTATCTCTATCAACACGAGGACAATAAACATTAATTACAACAAGACTTGTACCATCTCTAATAAAAATAAAAAACAAACGACAAAACAAAAGAAAAGAATTTTTATATTTACTCAAGTTCATGTTCAGTCATTATTGCACGACCTTCTCTATCAATAGCTAAAAGATCATTCTCATCCATTGATGGATATTCACCACCTAAACTATCATCAATTGTTGAATTTAATTTTCCAGCAAGTCCTATAAACTAACAAAATATTCGAATTATATAAAAACTAATATTCTATATAGCATACCTTCTTCAGCTCGAATTGGTATTAGAAAATTTTTACAAAAAATAGCTACACCAGAATAACCTTCACGAAGTCGAGACCAACTATAAAACGTATGATAACCATCGATTCGAGCATATGTTTCAGCAAGAGCTTGACCTAAGTATGTAATTAATAGAAAATTCAATTGATTTTTATAGATAATTATTTTCAACTTCGTCAAGAAAAAAAAAAACTTGAGATTTTTGATGAAAACTTACGAGTAACTTTCGTTTCTTGAAAACAAATTATATCACAGTCAAGTTGTTCAAGTACAGTTCGTAATGGTTGTCGCAATGAACGAAGACCATTTATATTCCAAGAACAAATACGCATCTAGAAATTTAAAAATATTTATATTAGAAAAAGAAGATATTCATTGGTAGAAGGTGACACAATTATTTGCAAAGGATAAATAATTTTCTTCTAACAGAACGCAAAAATAAAATTTCAATTCAACTGGGAAAAAATAAGTCTCCTATGATTTGAGAAGCAAGGGGAGGGATTACATCCTTCGATCGGGCTGCCATTTATTCTAGAGTGATTATATGGAAGCATTAAAGTTGATTTTCGTCATTATCAAAAAAATGCTCAATCTTTTGACATAATACTATCAGAAGGCAGAGCACTATTTTATAATGAGGAACATTAACTTTATTGTCACAATACTAAACAATGAAATACAGTGGAATGACTGGTAAACGAATACTAAAAAAGAATATCACGAACTGTCAAACAGCTGATTGTCAATCCATTATTTACCTTTATCAATTGATTGAAAAACAAATTCAAGAATTATCATTGCTAACTATGAAGATTATGACGTAAACAAACCATTTTGTTTCCTTTTTTCTTTTTTTTATGATGTAATATTTGTGAAAGATGTCGCTAATTGTTTTTTTCCTTATTCTTTTCTTTTTAACTTTTAAGAAAAGAAAGAAAGAAATTACCATAAACAACAACAACGAATAGTTTTCTCCTCGTCGCATTTGTTTCCCTACGTGAATGAATAAGTCAAAATATTTGAATATTGACAGGATGATGATTAATACTTTTAATGTTGCAATTTCTATAATATTTCTTTTTTATCTTAGATTTTGTGATTATTCTCTTAAATTTCTGCAAAAATGACCGATAATGGTGCATTGACTAAACGTATCGTAAAGGTCAGAAGCTCAACATATATTTTTATTTTCAATTATATACATATATTTTTTTTTGTTTTTAGGAAAGTGCTCGTTTACTACAAGAACCAGTGCCAGGCATAAACGCAATAGTTGATGAACAGAATCCACGTTATTTTAAAGTAATCATTGATGGACCTAGTGAAGTATGTATATGTTTTTAATATATTTTTCATAAATTAATTATATCTTATTATAGAGTCCATATGAGGGTGGTAAATTTAAAGTTGAATTATTTTTACCTGATGAATATCCAATGGCACCGCCAAAAGTTCGTTTTATGACAAAACTTTATCATCCAAATATTGATAAATTAGGTCGAATTTGTCTTGATATTCTCAAAGGTATTTAGATTTGTTTTAGTTACAAATTTTTGATTTGTTTAATTATTTTTTTTTCATCTAGAAAAATGGAGTCCTGCTTTACAAATTCGTACCGTTCTTTTATCCATTCAAGCCTTATTAAGTGCACCTAACCCAGATGATTTTTTAGATGCTGATGTTGCTGAAAAATGGAAAGCCGATGAAAAAGGAGCCAAAGCTATAGGTATGCACAAAATTAATCATCCATACATTATTCATAAAATCATTCGTTATTGTATGTGCTTTTTTTAGCTCGTGATTGGACTCAAAAATATGCTCATGAAAATTAGAAAAGTAACATATATATCTCTATTTATATAAATTGGTCGGATCATATTGCATAACGAACATTCAAAAGCATAGGATGGTGAAATTATTCTTTTTGTATGCTTTTTCTTTGCATGTTCATAGTTTCTTTTGTCTTGTCTTTTCTTTTTTGTAATCAAGAGCAAAATATATATAAACAACAGCATCGTTCTTAACTAACAGTTGTATGTGTGTGTGTGACTGATCATCTATTTCGATAAAAGACAACATTTGCTTTTTTTCATTTTTCTTTCGATCATCATTGATGAATGTATATGCATGTGAAGAGTGCCAAGAAAAAAAAAAGAACAGACAAGTTATATTATCTTCGTTTACATACTCAGAACAGGTGCGACGAACAAACACATAGAACACTAAGTGCGCAGAGAACTTTTTTTTTGTGTTTTGTGTTTGATACACATAAACTATTGTTGCATGATGCAAACTTTGAGCTTTTGAAAATATCAATATTCATCTTTTATCGTATGACAATCACTCAATTAATTTATAGGACACATTGTGCACATATATGAAAACAGGCATATCTGTGAGATTTTCAAGTAATACGGTTTTTTTCTCTCCTTTTATAAATGATGATTTCACTTGTCAAAAACATATTTCAATTTTTACATAAAAAAATTAATTGACTTTGCCTTTTTTTTTTTGTTTTCATTTCAATATAGATAATAAAAATAAATGATGCTAAAATTATAAAAAATATTAATTAATTATGCGAAAATTATTTAATCGTTTGATCTTTATTAAAATGCGTCGTATATTTGAATTATTAATATTATCATTTGTTTTTATTATTATTTTAACAATTAATTCAAAATGGTCATCAACAATAAATGATAATAATAAACCTCTAAGTATAAAAATTAATAATATATCTGTAAATTCATTTTTACCACAAGATCAATCTATAAATGTAAATCATAATAATATAACAGAAAAAATAATTACAGGTCAACCTGATTTAGCAAAATATATTCATCTAGATTTAAAAGGCGCACCGCCACAACCAAATAAATTTTATGAAACATTTTTTAATTTTATTGATCAATTAAAAATGGGTGTGAAAGGCATTGTGATTGAATATGAAGATTTATTACCATTAAATGGTAGACTTGCTAATGTAAGTTACAAATAATAAATGAGATATATTCAAAATAAAGAAAAGTTCTTTTGTTTTTCTAAGGCTACTCATCGTTTTGGTTATCAAAAATCCGATATTGAATTGATACAAACAGTAGCAAAGTCTCATCAACTTGAAATCATCCCACTTATACAAACATTTGGTCATCTTGAATGGTTACTTAAATTACGTGAATTTGAATTATATCGTGATGATCTTGTTTCACCTATGGTAATTACACCATGCTTTAATTTAACATATGTTTTACTTGAAGGTAATGTTCATATGAATATAAATTATTTCTGTACAAAAATAAACTATTTTTTAAGATCTTTTACAACAAACACTTGATATGCATCCAAATAGTAATATAATTCATATCGGTTGTGATGAAGTTGCATTAACAAATTCTCATCCACAATGTCAAGAAACATGGATGGATGTACCTGAACGATATATTAAGTAAGAAAGTAAAATATGAAGAGAATATAAAATAAAATTCTTGTTTATTTTTAAAGTCATGTTAAACGTGTTGTCAGTATAATTCAAAAGATTCGACCTGGAATGCGAATACTTATTTGGGATGATGTTATTCGTGGTGATCAATTTATTTATAATGACATATTGGTGAGTATGTTTATAGAAAACAAATATTTAATTAAATATTTTATTTTCGATTACAATACATATACAATGATTTCAGAAATTATTTGAACAAAAAATTTTTTTCCGCTGCCGTACGCGACAAGAAGAATTCAAATAGTGATTTTTGTAGTAAATTTTATTTTCAAGAAAAGTTTTGAATAGAAAAAGCTGATTTTTTTAATAACATGAATTTGTTTTGAAAACGTTTTAGATAAGCAACACTGAATGCAGCTGAGTTATCGCTATGACATCAGTCCACTATCTTCGGATTTGCTAATTACGAAGACCTTGAATATGTGTCATGGGGTTTGGTGATAATAACATAAACATTTGGTATTGCCTTTAGCGCTAGAAAAGAAAGTAATAACAGCTGGAGAAATATCAAAATGACAAACAAACACTGTTGGAGTATATAGTTTAGTTTAATACATTTTTTTATAAGAAAAAGAAAATGTGTCAATAATAACTGCAGTACATGCGAATCGTTGCAGGGCGGATTGATACTTGCAATTAAGATTTATTGTCGCATGTATGCACCCAGAATATTAGCTCAATATCATTAAAAAAATAGTAGTTCGTCATGAAAAACACAGCTATTTTTGTTCAAGATTTTAATAATCATTTTCATCTTCGAACACTTTGCTTGAGAATAAATAAAAAATAAACTTGATCGAATTATTTTTAAAGACACTACAAAAACAGAGCTTTTGATATGTTAGTTGATGAAGAATCATAATCTAATCAATATTTATTATATTATTTAGAAATCTAATAAAGAAAACATCTTAGTTTTGTGTTAACAATCTTTTATTTCTTCAATTTTTAAGTATAGAACAATGTATGTTTGTCATAACGATGATTTAGCAAGGAAAAATGAACAATAGAGGACTGTTGTTTTTTACTAATTGAAAAGAGAAATGAATGTTAAAAAAGCAACTTTTGCATAGATAAATATCTGAATCAATCAGAATTTAGCTCTTGATTTTTTATTTAGACTTTTGATTCATTGTCGTCAGTCTATATTTGAATATATAAACGATAGATTTTACTTCACTAAATCGATTAGATTAGATACACAGTCGACTAATGTAAAACTGAGCAACAAGAGCGTCTAATTTATCAAAAGTTGATATCAACGTGCATGTTCTTACATGAAATTTTTTTTTATCATTGAATATCTTTCTCATAAATAGAATCAATCAGATTGACAAGAAAACGCTTGATTTTTTGTTTTTAGTTGAATCAATTGAAAAATCTTGTTGAACCAGTTGCTTGGAATTATCGTTCAACATTTGATGATCCATATGTATCTTCATCTATTTGGAATATTTATTCAAAATTATTTTCTAATACATGGGCAGCTAGCGCATATAAAGGTGGTCTTAATCGTTATTCTATACAAACAAATACAACACATCATGTATTAAATAATCATGCATGGCTTCAATTTTTAGAATCATCTTTAAATCAAAATAATAAATCGTTTTCTGCTATTATATTAACTGGTTGGTCACGTTTTGATCATTTTATGCCATTATGTGATTTATTACCAACAGCTTATCAATCTCTTATTAGTAGTTTATATATATTAAATACAGGAAAATTTATTCTTCATGATTACATAAATGATTGTTATGAATTAATGAATTCAATTGGAAAAGATTCACAATTATGTCAATCTTTACCAGGTTATATAATAGTTTTAAAAGACAACAATAAACATTTGTATTATTTAGTGAAATACGATCTAAAAAGAGTGATGAAGTCTAGAGCTGGCAGATTTCGATCGCCCCATTTTTCTCATCACACAATGAGCATTTTTCCATAGATTAAACGGATATGAGACCTACCCAATAAGTTCAGATTCTATCTAGTATTTAGGTATTTGTTCAAAAATTTCTTGAGGCATATAGGCGATTTTCGAAGCACCTTTAAGTTCGTTCAAGTTCCAATTCGAGTTTGGATATTTTCAAACATCACTAACTTTGTTTTTAGAAGGTCTGTTATCTTCTAGCTTTTGATTCATTTACTTCATTATCTGTAGACCTATTATAGCTAATTATGAAAGTCTTTCTTTTGATGTACTTCTCTAATATCCAGTTTTAATGGTTAACTGAAAACGATCGCATCAAGATCGAGTTTGAACTCGAATGTTTGGATTCAGCGCATGTCTGAGTTCAGGTTTGGAATGCTCGCGCAGTTTTGCACTATCGCTATATAGGTGTTATGAGCGCAAGGACATCGTATGGAAGTTTCGTCCAATTTAAAATTGTGAAAAATAATGCAAGCTCATTATGCTGAACATCTGTTTCTGTAGAAGCATTCGATGCTAAAGAAGAATGACTTTTTCGAGTCCGAAGCAGATAAAAATAAAAGTTTTCCTATTTACGAATTGATAGAATGAAAGACGCAGTTTTAGATGATATCTAATTTTCTCTGGTGTGTCGACTCCTTATTGTTTTTCTATTAACAGTAAAAGAAAGCTCCAAATCCTTCTTAGTGGCGTTGCTTAGCAAAGTTTTCCGACTCATGCTAAAAAGAGGAATAAAGACTTTTATGTCATTAAATAATCCATATGTCAGAGTATATATTGCACTATTTAAGCTTCCCTTAGAAAATCCATTCTTTTTTGAAAAAGAAATCGAAGTTGAGTTTTTATCATAGAAAGATACAGCAAAATTTCCTCTCTCAGAATATATATGAACTGTTGAAAGAAGATCATATTTTAGCTTACTTGCAGAAGAAATTTCTACCCTATTACTCTGTTTTTCGATAAATTTTTGTGATTTTTTAATTTTAGAAAAACATCCTTTTTTGCTTGCATCAGCGTTGAATAAATATTCTTATATAATTTAAGTATGACAGTTGGTGTTGACTTGTATTACCTGTTACGTGCTTTTAAAAAGTGCATTTCAATATGATTCTTTCTGGATTTGAATGAAAAACATTCATATCTAAACTTATTTACTGTCTTTCTCAGAATATGATTTCCAGTCAGAAAAATTGAAATAGCTCTCATCTGATTCAAAATATAACCAAGATTTTGTTTTTATTTTAAAGACTTAAATAAGAATAAATGTTTGTCGTTCAAGATTTTTTTATTTTTGCTTTTTCTGTTGAGAAAAGTTAGATTTAGTGTGGTGAAATGACATTTTCTTTGCTTATTTTAACATCGTATGCACTAAAATGATCATACAAATTAAATGTAACTGAATTTCAAAAAATTCTATTCAAATAAAAATTACACAAGGATATTGGCTTTAATTTGAAACCATCTCGAGCTCTGCATCTATTGTAATGATGACATATTAAAGATTTCCTTCAACAGCATAAATGGCCTATAAATAATCCATAAGTTTATTCTAGTTTGATATATCGGACTGAAGTTTTTGCCAGAAACATTTTTCACTAGGGTCACTCATTCTTGAAAATTCTATCAAATGGATTATCATTAGTGGAAAACTTATTGTCAGAGGATCCTTAAATTCATCAAAAAGTGCACTTTCAGTTTTTTACTTTCTGTCTGTCACAGAAAGTAACAAAATCGAAAATTTGCTCTATTATTTTTGCTAACTACAGGAAATGATAGCTATAATTTTTGCAAATAAAATAACAGTCATATCGTACAAATATTGTACTAATAACTTTTTGTTTATTCGTAGGTGTTTCAATTTGGTCAGGTATATCATCGTTATCATTATCTCTATCACAAATTGAAGATCGTTTAACATTTTTACATACTGTTGCACCATCCTATAATCGTAAACATTTATTTGTACGTCGTTATGAACTTGATTTACGTTTAAATGAATTAGAAATGTTAAAAAATGATTTATTAACAGTAACACAATTATTAAATAATCATTTAAGTGAACTTTATTCATTAGATGTTATTGATGAATGGTTTGATCTCTATATAACTCCTGTATTAGGACGAATTAATACAACATTAATTGATTTTTTACCTGTACGCAATCAAACATCATGGTCACGACGACCCTTAATGTAGTCGAGTGTTGTCACATGATAATCACATCTATAATAATCTCAAAATATTTTTCTTTTTCTTTTTTGTTTTAAACAACGAATGAGTCTCTTCTATTTCTACGCATCTAATTTGTTTTTTTTTACTTCATCTATAAGTAATGATTCAGTTTAGTTTTCTTATTTCTGAGGTTTTAAAGTGTTTTTTTTTAAATAATGGTCGACATAATAGACGAATCTGTTTTTTTTTCGATTAAGCTTTATAATAAAAAATTCGTTATATTCAATGAAAACCTACAAATGAATGTCAAAATTTTCAACAAAATATTATGTAATCGTAACTAATTGACAGATAATAGACTTTTTGAATTTTATTTTGAATCTGGTTTTAATTTTCAATTATGCTGAAAACTACCAGATCTTGCTAAAGTATAATTTTAAGTCAAAAGTAGTTGAACATATATCACTATCCTATCAAACAAAAAGAACAGAATTTTACATAAAACAAGAAGACAACAAATCATAGATTATGTTCTATTGATGTTATTGTCGAAAATAAAACGATAGGAAGTTTGATTACAAATAGTTCGAAAAGATTTCACATATTTATTTTCAATTGTTTTTAAACAAATCACAAAAATCATTCTATCTATTTTTGAATTATTTTTTCAATTCAAATAAACACATAAAAATCATCATATCTAAACATAATAATGTGATCAATGGATATTTTTTTAATGAATCTATTTAAATATTTGTTCACTTTCAAGTAAATACATAAACTTTTGTAGCGTGTAATCAATATCAAGTAGCTAAAGAAAGATCTAGGGATGCAACAAATTCGAAATCCTTATTATTTAGATTTGACGAGATAAAATATCATTCAGAGATGGAATTGATCTAGTCTTTTGATGACCTAAGTCAGGCAATGAGACAATAAAATCTTACAAAATCGTACCTCTGATTTTGCAGTGACTTGCAGGATCAATCGAAAACCGTACAAAAAATTAAGCCCTCGAAAATCTTACTTGAAGTCCTATAATAAGCTTTTCGAAAGATCTTGTTTCCTTGTAAAATATCAATGTAAGGTCATACGACATCTTATCTGTTAAGTCTAAGATTTTGGACACAACAATTTTTTTTTGCATGACTTCATCTAATCTCACAAGACTTTACGTCTGATTTTTTTCGACTTGGAAACTGACATCGTGTTACTGATCTGACCGATAAATACTGGTCGATGGACCAGTTTTAAATCTGTGCCGGTACTGATTTCATCTCTGATATCATCAATAACATACTTTACTGTTACTTTTGATGCAATGATCTAGAAAGGTTTGATTTCTGGGGTAATGTCTTTGGATTTGTTCAATTCCTAGAACATTTCTGCAAGACTCTGCTCAAATATTTACTAACTTCGAATAAAATACGCAGAGTTGAAAATATCTGATCAATAATGATTAAAAATAGAATATGACAGAAATATTTCTTTCAATTAAGATAGTTTTTGGCATATTATTCAATATAATTCCTTGTGAAATCCTGTTGCGGATTATTTAATCGAATGATAAATCTGTCTTCTAGTTGTTTCAAGATTTTAAGAATAATGTGCTGAGATTTGCTGAGTTAATGGATTATGGTAGTCAATTTAGGAATATTCAATACCAAACTTTAACTTATTTTATTCATCGATGCTTATATTATTGACGAGACTTATACAAAAGGCCAAAAGGTTCAGATTATCAGAAATACATGCACAAACACAATATTCATAAAGAATGTCAATTAGTTGTCTCTGAATCTGTTTGTGGCAGCTCAAAATTGATTTATTAAGTCGGCATACATTGTTACAGTCTACCGCATTCATATTATCGTTATCACCATAAAAAAAACAAAAAAAAAATTCGAACTCTACTCTCTATCGCATTATGCATTGATGATATTTGATCAATATTAATTTTGAATAAGTCATACAGATAGCTAAATTTAAATAGGCTACTAAATGTTGAACATCATATCAGTTATAAGAAACAAACTATTAACTATTACGATATGTCATATGAACATTCTTGAATGAAAGATATATCTTCTCTTTCAAAATTGAAGAACCACTTATTTCAAGCTCATTTAAACATGCTGAACATATTTCCGATAGTCTATTCTTTTATAATGCGAAAATATTTTGGTAACGTAATTGTTGAGCTTAATATCGAGTGAATCAAATAAATTGAATTTCCCCATCCAAATGATTATTAAGATGCAAAACTGTTAATCTTTTGAAAAACTTGCCTCTTATTTGTATAGAAAAAACGTCGATTCAATGTTCTCGTCATTCATTCATGTGTTCATAAATAGCACGCATTTAACCATTCATTATTCTAGATTACTATAGCTCAATCATAATTAAATTTACATGTTGCTCTGTATGAAAAATTTGAAGTGATTATCAAATAGATGGC